CAGCTCCCTTTGGCGGTCGACAAGACGATGCACGTGAGGGGCGTGGTGGGTGAACTAGCTAAAGCGCCAGGCTAGTCATCCAGCGAGCTTGAGGTGACGGGATCGCGCCCACCTGTGGCCGGGTGTAAAAACCTTGGAGTCAACTTTGTGTGCGGATTCTTTCAGTGTTGTCACAACCCCTAGTGTTCAGTACACAACCCTGTGCACTTAAAAGAACCCACGAATCCGTTGGTATATGACCAGGTGGTGGCCACATGAATACGTGCAAACACCTAGTTGCGGGTACAGCAACGTGCAGTAAACTTGGACAAAGTACTGTGACTATGTGTCCCAGTCCACCCAACTGTGAAATGGTACCTCGTAAGGATGGGGAAGCCACACTAACTCGGTGCGCCTAGTGGCTGCAAGAGTTGTATGATCCCCAGGGAGCTGATATTGATAATACGACGTGCCGTTGTCGATTGACATCCAGTGATCTAAGAAAAAAACAAAGCGCCTTTGAGCAGCTGAGCTGGATATCGGCGCTATACAAATGTTAGTATGTAGGAAAGAGAATCTGGTCGGTATATCTCGCGGCCGTACGATTGCCTTGGACGAGCACCAATTCCGATCTGAAGGTGTATGAGATAGCTCCCCACATCATCACACCATCTCCACCAAATCTGTCCACTTGCCTGATGCAGTTGGATGCAAAACGTTCATTGCGTGGTCTGTAGACACGTTGTCTTCCGTCACGTCGCTTGAGGGGATACCGCGATTCATCATTGAACCATATGTGCCTCCAGTTTCCAAGGTGCCAAGGCTGCACCGCGTTTCACCACCTGACTCACGGACGTTGATGTAATCGTGTCAGAGAGGACAACTTCTGGACGTCTGGCACGCATACCTACCTCTCGGAGATGGTTCCTGATGGTCTGGTCGGACATTCTCCGTTGTTGTGCTGTGTCCCGAGGAACGATGGCAGTCACGTAGGTGGGTTACCCGGATGTAGCGATCTTGGGCTGTGTGGTGACTCACGGTCTTCCTGGTCTTGGATGGTCATTTGTCGAACTTGAATGCACAAAAAGATCCCACAAGCCAGTTATTGTGCTGGGATGAATGCTGAAGGTCCTCGCCTCAACACTCTAGGATTCGCCAGCTTGTAATCGCCCAATGTCAATATTTCGGTGGGCACTGTTCAGACGTCCCATTTTCTCATCCAGTATTTGCAAGGGTCTTGGATGAATTTGCTAGATGCATTTGGGTCTTCTATAGTCATAGGTTGCACGCGAAAAGCAATAATTGCGGCTTTTCGTTGTGTTCCATACCAGTCAAGCTCATCATGACAATCATGATCGATAAAACCATTCAAAACCGTTTATGGTTACATTCGCTCACGCATGAGCTTCTAAACCATACCAACAACAATATTCAACCCTCAAAACATGCTTAATTTGACATTTGCGTACAAACTTTCATTTTTTCAAATTTTATTTCCGTTTCCTTTTGGGGGGAAAGTGAGTGAGTGAGTTGAGTTTTACGCCGCACTCAGCAATATTCCAGCTATATGGCGGCGGTCTGTAAATAATCGAGTCTGGACCAGACACAGTAGTACTTTAAACATGTAATAGTGAAAGGAAATTGCTGTGCAAGGCGGAGGCATGTTCTCTAACGAGGGCCCTTCTAGTTTCCAAATTAAGAAAAAAAGAATTCATGCTTGTGTTTGTATGACAAATAATGTCGAAGCTTGTATTTCAACAGCATATTTTGTTCTTGCAGGTTAATGACGGATTGATTGACTATGCAAGTTACTTAACAATGTGAAAGTTAAAATAAATACACTAGTGCACATTATATATTGCATTTGCATACCCCACTTGTAATATGTAGTTATCTGTTTACTGTGATATAATTTGACACTCCTGTATTAATACATTCAGTTTGTATTGACTGCAGATTTGGCTTTATGTCATTTGTCATTTAATTACCCAGACACGAGTGTCAGTGTGTCAATTCTGACTGAACTGGTAGGCCTGATTTGACACTTGTGCACGGCTATATGATAGCCACATTAACCATATCTGGGTACTATTATTACTACATATCATAAGTGTATCATTAATTGAATAAATTGGTTCCATTAATATAGGCCAGTACTTACAATGTTGGTGTCCGATAAAGGAAAGACAATATTTGATTAATTTATATGATTATGTCATATTTTATGTCACCAAATTGAAATTAGAAGCATATTATGTGGTTATCTATATGTCATACATCATAAGCTGATATGCTACTTGACTATGTTTTGATAAGTTTATGAAAACATGCTTTTTTCTCGAAATAGTGTCGCAAGCAAGTTTGGGAGCTCATATTCAATCACCCCACGATGACATAGCAAACAGAAAAAATGGAACCATGTTTTTCCTGAATCCACACACAACAGTGATTACAGTTAGTATTGGTCCCAAAAATTAACATGTAATTCCCACGGAATTACACAAGCCCCTACACTATGATGGTGATTGAAGGGAACTTGAATGCCTTCAGGTTCCGAGAGGAAATTTTGCAAATGGCCGGTTTTTACAACAGAGTGAGTGAGTGAGTTTAGTTTGACGCCGCACTCAGCAATATTCCAGTTAAATGGGGGCGGTCTGTAATCGAGTCTGGACCAGACAATCCAGTGATCAACAGCATGAGCATCGATCTGCGCAATTGGGAACCGATGACATGTGTCTGCCAAGTCAGCGAGCCTGACCACCCGATCCCGTTAGTCGCCTCTTACTACAATTTTGCAACAGAACGGCCATGGAGCGACAATATGGCGCAAGGCTATGCGTTACTTGAGTTCTGCTGCAGTATTCTAATCAGAACAATGTTAATGCGTTTCCCTGGCTCGCATGCTTCTCTGATTTGTCACCCACTGAAAACGTCTGGGATGAAATGGAGCAACGTTCCCAACGTTTTTCAATCCTCTAACAAGGTTGCAGGAACTCCGCTAAATTGGATATAGAATGATCTTCCCCAAGACTTTAATAAACGTTTAGTAGACTCTGTTATTCCAAGGTGCCATGCCTACATCAATGCACAATACCCGAGAAGATCCGGGTTAGGATTGGACTTCGGCAACCCATGCTTGTCATAAGAGGCGAGTTACGGGATCGGGTGCTCAGGCTCGTTGACTTGGTCGACACATGTCATCGTATCATAATTGGGCAGATACAGCGTTTTAAGAAAGGGGGGTGCACCAGTTCATTTTCACCAGAGACCAAATGGATCTGCCTATGATGTAATAAACTTTCATGACAAAGAAAGGGAGTGGGGTGCGCACACCTGCACCCCTTATCTGGATCCGCCTATGGTATCCCAAATGCATATATCGATGCTCATGTTGTTGATCACTGGATTGTCTTCTCTAGACTTGGTTATTTACACAACCCCGCCACATAGCTGTAAAATTGCTGAGCCTGGCGTTAAAAAGCACAGGTATTTATCATCCAAAACTGTGTTCCACGGGAGATATCGCTTGTGTGAGATCATATGAGATATCGTTTTGACGGTAGATTTTGTACAATGCCCTGACAATGCTATGACGTCATCAACTTAATGACGTCACAATGCTATGACATCGCTGCACTGTACTCTAATGGTAGTACAGTGTTGAGAGATGTACACTTTTCATTGAATACTAATGAAGAATGATATTTAATGATAAATAGAATCTCACCCTCGTGTCTACTGATATCAATTATATCAACACTCGTTGATAAAGGTAAAAAATATCCTCGGCAAGTCTCGGATATTTGTAACTTTATCAACTCGAGTTGATATAATTGATATCAATAGACACGAGGGTGACATTCTCTATATACGATACAAGTCCAAACAGAAAACTACATCAGACATCCTTTTCTCACCTGTTAAATTTATCTCTCATTCGTGAAACATTTTGAAAACTTCACCAAGGCCTGTGACCCTCAGTAAAAAACATTTGTGCAAGATCTGCATGTCGCTTTTTTTAGTAGAATATTCGTAATATATCGTATTGCATATTCGTTATGTTGTTATCTTAGAGATGATGTTAATACCCCTTTGTCCAGCTATTTCTATAGATATGGGAAAAGGAAAAGAGCTTGCTGAGAAGAAAAATCTGACATTTGTAATGATCGAGCTTTTATCCTGACCTCAACATTAATGTCTTGTTTCAATTACATAACTTGTTCGTTGGAAATGACACGTTTCTCTTCATCTTACCATAAAAAAGTTTTATTTTACTTGCCTTTCTCCACGTACTCCCTTTCCCGAGAACACAACCATGCATTCTAATACTCTTTCCCCAGAACAGAACCATGCATTCTCGTATTCTTTCCCCAGAACACAACCATAGACTCTCCTATTCTTTCCCCGGAACACAACACTACATTCTCCTATTCTTTCCCAAGAACACAACCACGCATTGTTTCCCAAGAGCCCAACCACGCATTCTTTCCCAAGAACACAAGCACGCATTCTTTCCCCAGAACACTACCATACATTCTTTCCGAAGAACACAACCACGCATTCTTTTCCTAGAACACAACTAGGCATTGTCGTATTCTTTCAACAAAAACACAACTATGCAGTCTCGTATTCTTTCCCAGAAGAACAAGACCACGTATTCATTCCCCCGGGACACAACCACGTTTTCTTTCGCCCCAAAACACAACCACCTATTCTTTCCCCCAGAACACAACAACGTATTCTTTCCCCAGAGCACAACCATACATTATCGTATTCTTTCCCCAGAACACAACCATACATTCTCGTATTCTTTCCCCAAAACACACGATGCATTCTTGTACTTTTTCCCTAGAACACAACCACGTATAATTTCCCCAGGACACAACCGTACATTCTCGTATTCTTTCCCCAGAGCAACCATACATTCTCGTATTATTTTCCCAAAGCACAACTATGAATTTTCATATCGCCATCATTATGACGTCTGTTGTTGGTGTCTCTAGAAATACTGACATACTTACGTCTTTCTTGGTTCCGCCGTGTCTCCAGCTATCTTATCTAGGAGAATGAACCCGACTCCATTATGCAAAACTTCTTGATATTTTTATGCTAATCCTCTTCGTACCAGGTCACACGCGCAAACCACATCAACGCTGAATGTATGGTCCCTCTACAGCAATTCTCTTCTCCTCACACAGTTATAAGTCAGTTGTTGACAAGGCCGAATCGTTCCTGACTTTCAAGAAGCGAGAACGGTTTGAATGTAATCGATGAAATCAAGCTAATCTCACAGAAATGACAGGATCAATAGTGTTTAGCTGACACCTGAAGTACACTCCATGACGTCATATACAGCGTCGCTCTTGAATTTATGAACCCGCTGAGTGCTGAACCAATTCTTTTAGAAGTAATCTGAAGCTCTAAACGTCTCGAAACTATCACTCACGTGACAACTAAATGATGTGTATGTGTCTAATAAGGGAAACCCGATCGATTAAGAACAGTTGAAACTTAACGCATATGTTTATATATCGGGATCATTTATTGCCAATGTGTATCTTTCACTTGGCGAAGGGCAAAAAGTAGGCCCTAAATGGTCTATATACGATACAAAACGTTGTTATCTTCTGCTTACTGTCATGAATATATATCGGAGACTCTTGGCCCCATTTGTCGAGATCTGAAGCCTATAGACTTCTCTGTCGACACATATTTGAAGGGTTCAAACAAGGTCTTCCCAAAGACCTTGATGTTTGACTTGAATCTCAAAGAAATCCCAACGATACATTCACGGTTACATTTACGATATAAGTTTTTCAGTGTGCAAGGAAAGAAGACTAAATAATAATGATGCTTGGAAACTTACTAAAGCTAATGATCAAATCAATATGTACGTTCACAGAGATCTGGGTGTGTAAATACTTGTCTTGCGGACACAGTAATGAACTCAGTGAACTAACTCCAGTGGGAACAATAACGCATTCTTGGTTAGTCCAAAATAAAAGTCTCAATCCCCTCCAAAGCCCACTCCCCGAAAAGCCCCTCCATTACGATATGAGTATTCTGATTCCCAAGTGTACTGAGCGCATATAACAATAATAGAACCAACGTACATGGATGCATTTCCTCATATGTATTATTCCCTATTACTACCAATGAAGGTTCGCTTCAGACATTAACAAACAAAGACATATTAGTTATCTTTAATTTAAAATAATACAATTTGAATAACATTCCCCCCTGATTGCAATAAGATACTTTGTTGAAACTTTATTGTTATAACATGACACAGTCAACATTCGAGTTATATCAAGAATGCATGGACATAGTTTCACTGTTAAATAGTTTCACTGGATGATAGATATACATATGGGACCCCCTAATATATTTCCATTTCTGGTGTCCCCCGATGATATTGAAAATTGCCAAAAGCGGCGTAAAACCATACTCACTCACTCACCCTTATATATTTCATCATAATGATGTTGATATCTATGATGATGATGATGATGATGATGATGATGATGATGATTGTGCTGCCAATGTTTCGTAGCACTTTTCGGGTAATGAAAAATAATGTTTCAGTTTGAAGGGTTTGCCAAAAAAGCCCACATGCATGTGAAGCCACTCATTTCAAGAAAAGAAGTACCTCTGCCTGGCCGTTCGAGGGTATATAACTTGTGAATATGTCATCCGTTCAGTGAGTGAGTGAGATTAGTTTTACGCCGCACTCAGCAATGTACCAGCTTTATGACGGCGGTCTGTAAGTAATCGGGTCTGGATCAGAGAATCCAGTGATTGACATTATGAGCACAGTTTCCACACACGGTTAATATGTCCAATACTGATTGGTCGCATGTATATTTATTACATTGATCCGTACATATTATGATTGGTTTAATTGTACAACACGCCATAGCCGAACAAAACAATGCGAACTTAATGATGCCAATGTAATCGGTTTACTGACACATTAGTCGCATGGGTTAAAGCGTTCGCCCGTCACGCCAAAGACCCGGGTTCGATTCCCCACATGGGTACAATGAGTGAAGCCCATTTTTGGTGTCTCCCGCTCTGATATTGCTGGAATATTTCTGAAAGCGGCGTAAAACCATACTTACTCACTCATTACTAAAACATTATTTGTAAACAATAGAAGAGAAGCGATGTGAAGAATGAATGATCTCAAAAAAACTACATTTCGTATTCCTATCTTCTGTCAACTTAGACTTTTCAAAAAACATTTGAACATTTTAAAAATACTTTCTGTACTCTAGATCCCTCGCATTTGTACTTTAGATCCCATGCATGAATGACATAAATTTACTTTGGAGTCGAGTCGAGTCAATATTAATGTGAGACGACTACCTAGGGACACGTCGACTTTGCATACTTCGATCAATATCAATATCAATATATTTATTTAAAAAGCAAGCTACAACGTGGAAGAAGGCTGTTGATAAAAATTTAACATTTTCCACCGATAGTGACAATCGATTTGAAATGAGTGAAAAACTCATACTGACACAATTGTCATCAATAAAACAAGTTCGACATCAAAACTTGATAAAATCGATTAAATCACTTCATTCAGACAGGAAAGTCATAAACTTCGATTTCTCCTAATTGTACAAAACAATAAATTTAGCCTTTGTCTCATTAAAATCGACAATACAAGTAGTGACGCGGAAAATATGCTTTTGGAAACGATTGTGATAACATATTGTGTTGAGGATGATGTGCACTAGCTATCAATTTCGATTGAAATAGAAAACATCATTTCCCCTGTTGATCCAAGAGTTTTTGTTGGCATCCTGAATATTCATTGATCTTACGCTCCACGCCATGTTGCAATCAATGCTGAACTAAAGATGCTTTGGTACAATCGGAATCTGACAAAAGTAAAGTTTTATTGTTGAATATTTACTCTTTTAGAGATGTTCGTAAACAATCGGAGTCCTTAGCAGCTTCGTAGAACTAAGTTAGTTTCTGTAAAATAGGAAACTATTTGTCAGCAATAATTTTTCAAATTGTACGGCTACTACCAGGCATTTGAGAACGGATGGCCTTTAAGGCACTACCCGTAAAGATCCGGGTTAGAATTGGCCATCGGCAACCCATGCTTGTAGCAAGAAGCGACTAACGGAATCAGATGGTCAGTCTCACTGACTTGCTCGTCACATGTCATCGTATCCCAGTTGCTCATGATGTTGATCACTCGATTGTCTGGTTCAGACTCTATTTACAGACCACCGCCATAAAGCTGGAATATTGCTGAGTGTGGCGTTAAACACCAAACAAAACAAGCTAAAAAACCCACAGCCAATACACTTACCAAAACTATCTATTTTCCTTCCTCGTGCGATTGTCTGTGTTCAACGATCCTAGCCGTAGCGACGTTGGTGTTATGTATAAACTCTCATTTAGAATTGGTAGATTTCATAAATCATACTTTGCATTACCTTAAATCAAATTTCCAAAGTCAATACTGGATTCATGTTATTGCTGCTATGGAAACTTGGGTAGTTAAGTCTCGAAACAACACGACAACAGAAAACACAGGTTGTCAAAACAGAATGGAAACACGTGAAAACTTTAAGTTTCAATTTGTAAAGACGCAAATCGCTTTCTGCTCTGTAAAGGCTGATGTTAAAGGAAGCTTTTGTGGCTGTTTAGAAATCATTTTCAACATGATTTAACGCGTTAAATATTGATTATTGTATGCATTGAGTCCCAAGTGAACACTTTTATGGATATAACATAACATATGATCTACTCATAGATGTTGCAAGGTTTCATTAAAAGTACAAGGAAATCTTATAAGAATAGAACAACAAGACACTAAATATGTTTTGTGCAAATTTGTAATGTCATGTAAACCAGTACTTCAAAAACCCGTGAAGATGCAGGTTAGAATTGGTTTTCAGTAACTCATGCTTGTCGTAAGAGGCGACTAACGGGATCGGGTGGTCAGGCTCGCCGACTTGGTTGACACATGACATCGTATCCCAATTGCGTAGATCGATGCTCATGTTGTTGATCACTGGATTGTCTGGTCCAGAATCGATTATTGACAGACCGCCGTCATATAGCTGAGGTATTGCTGAGTGTGGCTAATCTCACTCACTCACTCACTCACTCACTCACTCACTGTACTTTAAAGACATGGAAATGTACAGTTACACGCCGATATGCAAAGAGACAGACTCATTCTCCATGGGGTAGTCTTACGGTTAAAGCGTTCGCTCGTTTCGAGTCCAGGTTCGATTCTTCGATAGCTACTCTTAGAAGCCCAATCTGGTAGCATTCGGTTTGTTGGAATATTGTCAAAGCGCCCTTAATCCGTTCTCATTAACTGACCCCGAAGCGAATTAATATTGTTGTAAGAAAGTGTCACGTTGCGCACATAGTTTTCTCTGGACACCTTTCTACATAATATTATTTTCGTTTATTTTAAAGAAATACCTTCAAAGCATACACTTTTCCATGAAGATCCGAATTAGAATTGATCTTCAGCAACCCATGCTTTTAGTAAGAGGCGGCTGACGGGATCGGGTGGTCAGGTTTGCTGTCTTGGTTGACATAATTATGTCATAGTATCCCAATTGCGTAGATCGATGCTCATGTTGTTGATCACTGGATTGTCTGGTCCAGACTTGATTATTGACAGACAACTGGAATATTGCTGAGTGCAGCGTTAACAACAAACAAACAAACACAGCATACATGCACTGGCCTTATATTTTACACACAATGTCTTAAAGATAAAACTTTAAGATATAGTCACATTGCCCCCATAGGTTTGCCATAAACACAATTCTACACAAGGCCTTAGGGTTTAAAGAAATAATCACAATAACATCTTATACACACTTTTACTACATACGCTGGTACCAGTATAAGAATTAGAAACATTGAACACATTTTGCAAAACTGTTATTGATATAGCCGGAATGTACAATGTCTTATAATGAAAATGTCCTTTTGACTAAAACACAGTCCAGTATAATGCTCTGAACACGAATCACATTAAACGCATTGTTTGGTTTTCTGCACATATTTCTACACGACGCGTACCTTGTTTGGATATTATGTAGCGCAGTATAAAATCCTTTGAAAAACAAACACAACAAATGCATTAATGTATTGTTTGCACATTTTTATGAGATTTGAAAGTAAACTGAGAGGCAAAGGAAAGTTAGTTTTTAATGCAAATTTGAAAGTACTGATGTTAAGTTTGATTATGTTTTTTCACTATCGCTCATTCCTGCAACCCGAAATGAATTTCGAGCCCCTGCCAAGTTTGAAATGTTGTGAAAAAGCAAATTCATTATTCTCTAAGATACCCGTCAGAAGTGGCGAATCATGTTTTATTTTTTAATAGTTTTTAAATCAAATTATTTAAAACAAATATGTTGACATAGTCTTTGATTACTGACTGAGCGCCAGGGGACTATATTTTTATATAAAACAGCTGGCTTATGGCATTTTGTATATTACAGTCTTGTATATTGCACTTGGCCCATTTGACCCCCAGCCGAGAGCACGTGGTCAGAACATTAGCGGGTGCCCAAATGACCGCTTCCTGAGTGACCACGTGGCCAGACTCATTAGATGCGTCAACGTGGCGCAATGTTGACTCATTACACAGAGAAACGGTCACACGATATGCTTTTACGTATGGAAGATAGGTGTATATAAACACTGTCGACTTCAGGATTGTCAGTATCACCTCGACTTCCAGTCAGACATCTCAACTATTCGTTCGCTCGCACCAGCTGATTCAAGGTAAGGTCGACAAATCTTTTCATATTCTAAAAACTGTTTCTGTAACTACCCTTGAAGATCCGCATTAGAATTGGTCTTCAGCAACCCATGCTTGCGGTAAGAGGCTACTAACAGGATCGGGTGGTCAGGCTCGCTGACGTGGTTGACACATGTCATCGTATCCCAATTGCGCAGATCGATGCTCATGATCACTGGATTGTCTGATCCAGACCGTATACTGCCGACATACAGCTGGACCATTGCGGAATCTAAGAATCTAAGATTCGTTCCGTTCCGATCCTCTTCATAAATACTCCATACGATTTTATTCATGTCATGCCTTGGTAGTCCCATACTGTTCCTGAGCTGTCATCAGTCTCAGACACGGACCTAAAAGCGCACTTTAATTCCATTCCTTGTTTCTGTAGACATTCAACGTCCACCGAATATCTTAAAACGTAAATTCTGGTATTTTCTCGGGAAAATCGTATTGTTTCCGTCAACGGAAAGTAAAACATTCTCCTGAGAAATAAGTAAGATGTGGCCTTAGATTCTAGCAATCTATTACATACATGCTTATCTGCTTGTAGAAATCAACAATGGCTCCCACCAACGTTCTCGCTATGTTCCGCCCTGCTCAGGTCCAGGAATTTAAAGAGGTGAGTGATGATGTCATTTTGTGAATACGTACTTGACAATTGACAATAAACGGAACTCCTGTCAAGAAACATATTTCATACAATGTACAGTGTATCCATGACAACCAGGCGAAATCAATGTCCGGGAAAAGGCTTTAAAAATCGTATCAAAATGTCAAAATGGTAAAATGACTCAATTTGTCTGTATTTATGATGAAGTCAAAGATGACACTTTTGAAATGGAAAGACCATGAATCGGAAATGGCAGCAATAGGAAAATGCCCCGGTATGGGGTTGAGACAAAGAAATTCTTGTGGGCTTAAGAATCGAGTGTTAAGCTTTGGAAAATATAATTAATTATGAACATTCCTTTCTTATACGGGCCTAAGAGGGATTTGCAACGAAATCAGACAGACTTAAGCACGAGTATACCGCTCTTTGAGGTTCTAATACGCACAATGATATTAATCAATGTCTATTTCATGTTTATTTCAGGCCTTTGCTCTGATCGACGTCAACAGGGACGGTATCATACAGGTTGATGACCTGAAGAGTATCTACGCCAACCTGGGTAAGAATACTGATGTAGAATATCAAACAGAAATAGGTATTATAACGTTGAATATCTAATGTAAGCGGGGGCATGAGTGACGTTCCATGGCTGTACCAGGATACGCTGATAGTCCCGGTTATGATCTAGTTCCATATCAAACTAGCTTTTGGATTATATGGCTTCATAAAGGTCCACGGATAGGAATCGTAGTTACCACACAAAGTTAAGTTGCTTGTAGTAGTTGCGATTCTTTCAAAAAGGTCGAACTTGAATGATGGGCCATTTCATGATAAGCCGTAAAGCTTTACTGTTGTAGGGCCAGCGAGATAGCATGGTTAGGTGGTTAAAGCGTTTATCCCGAGATGCCCGGGTTCGATTCCCAACATGGGCACAATGTGTGAAGCCCATTTCTGGTGTCTCCCGCTGTGATATTGCTGGGATATTGCTAAAAGAGGCGTACAACCACACCCACTCACTCACTCACTTGACTTTTGGACATCAGTACTTCAAGTAATGTTGCTGTCAACACCCGTTACACTGGCTTCTCTGTCTCGTTCCAATCACACTTTCAAGAATGTCGAGAAAGAATCGAATTAATCCTGACTTTCATGCTAAATGATAACTTTGCACTCACCCAAAGATATTGTTCCTTGATATTTCCAGGAAAGGTTCCATCTGACGCCGAACTGCAGGAGATGCTGAAGGAAGCCCCTGGTCCACTCAACTTCACCACCTTCCTCAACATGTTCGGGGAGAAGATGGGAGGTAAGTCACATGGCAGTACGATGGCAAAGCCAAAACTTCAAATGCTGTATTCGTACATTCATCAAATAAGGAATACACCAGTGATGTGAATGTCAAAAGAATCGATCTCAAACAAAGGAAATGTTTACCCTGTCACCATGCACAGGATTTAAGACATCCCCGATGAACATTCTTTCAACAAATAATGCTTCCAATAATGAATTTGTTTTTCTTCTTTAAAGGTACTGATTCTGAAGAGACAATCAAGAATGCTTTCGCTATGTTTGACGAAGATGGAAAGGAACCCTCCTGAGGACTAGTAAGCAATTCAAACACTGTGCTGTTAATTTCCCGAAAGAACAAACAAATGAGTCACTGGCGGTTAGTCAAATCTAAATTGATAGCGTTTGAAGTCATGGAGTCACAAACGCTTTGATAATTGAAGACATAAAATGAAGAGACGATGATTACCATAGATACAAATATAGATAGATATTGTTTTGATTGCCCACACCCGACAGGCTAATGGTTGTCTCTGATCTTTACTCGAGCTTTCATCATGGATTCGTAGTCAATGATTGTTCATATTAAACTAACCCGCCATTACTTAAAATAGGCTTTCTAATCAATTTATTCTGTAACTATGGCAGATTGGGTGCTTTCTGGTTTATCTGAAGCTCACTAATCATATATATCCTTTCATTCTACTTCAGCATCAAGGATCTCCTGCAAAACATGGGAGATAACTTTACCCAAGATGAGGTGAGTACACAGTGATATATGTGGAGCTTCCTGAGTGACCACGTGGCCAGACTCATTAGATGCGTCAATGTGACGCAATGTTGACTAATTACACAGAGAAACGGTCACACGATATGCTTTTATGTATGGAAGATAGGTGTATATAAACACAGTCGATTTCAGGATTGTCAGTATCACCTCGACTTCCAGTCAGACATCTCAACTCTTCGTTCGCTCGCACCAGCTGATTCAAGGTAAGGTCGACAAATCTGTTCATATTCTAAAAACTGTTTCTGTTACTACCCTTAAAGATCCGCATTAGAATTGGTCTTCAGCAACCCATGCTTGCGGTAAGAGGCTACTAACAGGATCGGGTGGTCAGGCTCGCTGACGTGGTTGACACATGTCATCGTATCCCAATTGCGCAGATCGATGCTCATGATCACTGGATTGTCTGATCCAGACCGTATACTGCCGACATACAGCTGGACCATTTCGGAATCTAAGAATCTAAGATTCGTTCCGTTCCGATCCTCTTCATAAATACTCCTTACGATTTTATTCATGTCAGCCTTGGTAGTCCCATACTGTTCATGAGTTGTCATCAGTCTCAGACACGGTACTAAAAGCGCACTTTAATTCCATTCCTTGTTTCTGTAGACTTTCAACGTCCACCGAATATCTTACAAACGTAAATTCTGGTATTTTCTCGGGAAAATCGTATTGTTTCCGTCACGGAAAGTAAAACATTCTCATGATAAATAAGTAAGTAGTGGCCTTATAGATTCTAGCAATCTATTACATACATGCTTATCTGCTTGTAGAAATCAACAATGGCTCCCACCAACGTTCTCGCTATGTTCCGCCCTGCTCAGGTCCAGGAATTTAAAGAGGTGAGTGATGATGTCATTTTGTGAATACGTACTGACAATTGACAATAAACGGAACTCCTGTCAAGAAACATATTTCATACAATGTACAGTGTATCCATGACAACCAGGCGAAATCAATGTCCGGAAAAGGCTTTAAAAATCGTATCAAAATGTCAAAATGGTAAAATGACTCAATTTGTCTGTATTTATGATGAAGTCAAAGATGACACTTTTGAAATGGAAAGACCATGAAGCGGAAATTGCAGTAATAGGAAAATGCCCCGGTATGGGGTTGAGACAAAGAAATTCTTGTAAGCTTAAGAATCGAGTGTTAAGCTTTGGAAAATATAATTAATTATGAACATTCCTTTCTTATACGGGCCTAAGAGGGATTTGCAACGAAATCAGACAGACTTAAGGACGATCAACTGCTCTTTGAAGTTCTAATACGCACAATGATATTAATCCATGTCTATTTCATGTTTATTTCAGGCCTTTGCTCTGATCGACGTCAACAGGGACGGCATCATACAGGTTGATGACCTGAAGAGTATCTACGCCAACCTGGGTAAGAATACTGATGTAGAATATCAAACAGAGATAGGTATTATAACGTTGAATATCTAATGTAAGCGGGGCATGGTCCACGTGACGTTCCATGGCTGTACCAGGATACGCTGATAGTCCCGGTTATGATCTAGTTCCATATCAAACTAGTATTTGGATTATATGGCTTCATGAAGGTCCACGGATAAGAATCGTAGTTACCACACAAAGTTAAGTTGCTTGTAGTAGTTACGATTCTTTCAAAAAGGTCGAATTTCAATGATGGGCCATTTTCATGATAAGCCGTAAAGCTTTACTGTTGTAGGGCCAGCGAGATAGCATGGTTAGATGGTTAAAGCGTTTATCCCGAGATGCCCGGGTTCGATTCCCCACATGGGCACAATGTGTGAAGCCCATTTCTGGTGTCTCCCGCTGTGATATTGCTGGGATATTGCTAAAAGAGGCGTACAACCACACTCACTCACTTGACTTTTGGACATCAGTACTTCAAGTAATGTTGTTGTCAACACCCGTTACACTGGCTTCTCTGTCTCGTTCCAATCACACTTTCAAGAATGTCGAGAAAGAATCGAATTCATCCTGACTTTCATGCTAAATGATAACTTTGCACTCACCCAAAGATATTGTTCCTTGACATTTCCAGGAAAGGTTCCATCTGACGCCGAACTGCAGGAGATGCTGAAGGAAGCCCCTGGTCCACTCAACTTCACCACCTTCCTCAACATGTTCGGGGAGAAGATGGGAGGTAAGTCACATGGCAGTACGATGGCAAAGCCAAAACTTCAAATGCTGTATTCGTACATTCATCAAATAAGGAATACACCAGTGATGTGAATGTCAAAAGAATCGATCTCAAACAAAGGAAATGTTTACCCCTGTCACCATGCACAGGGATTTAAGACATCCCCGATGAACATTCTTTCAACAAATAATGCTTCCAATAATGAATTTGTTTTTTCTTCTTTAAGGTACTGATTCTGAAGAGACAATCAAGAATGCTTTCGCTATGTTTGACGAAGATGGAAAGGGAACCCTCCCTGAGGACTAGTAAGCAATTCAAACACTGTGCTGTTAATTTCCCGAAAGAACAAACAAATGAGTCACTGGCGGTTAGTCAAATCTAAATTGATAGCGTTTGAAGTCATGGAGTCACAAACGCTTTGATAATTGAAGACATAAAATGAAGAGACGATGATTACCATAGATACAAATATAGATAGATATTGTTTTGATTGCCCACACCCGACAGGCTAATGGTTGTCTCTGATCTTTACTCGAGCTTTCATCATGGATTCGTAGTCAATGATTGTTCATATTAAACTAACCCGCCATTACTTAAAATAGGCTTTCTAATCAATTTATTCTGTAACTATGGCAGATTGGGTGCTTTCTGGTTTATCTGAAGCTCACTAATCATATATATCCTTTCATTCTACTTCAGCATCAAGGATCTCCTGCAAAACATGGGAGATAACTTTACCCAAGATGAGGTGAGTACACAGTGATATATGTGAGATACATAGTGAGATATGTGAGATACATAGTGAGATATGTGAGATACATAGTGAGATATGTGAGATACATAGTGAGATATGTGAGATACATAGTGAGATATGTGAGATACACAGTGAGATATGTGAGATGAGATATGTGAGATACATAGTGAGATATGTGAGATACACAGTGAGATATGTGAGATACATAGTGAGATATGTGAGATACACAGTGAGATATGTGAGATACATAGTGAGATATGTGAGATACATAGTGAGATATGTGAGATACACAGTGAGATATGTGAGATACACAGTGAGATATGTGAGATACATAGTGAGATATGTGTGAGATACACAGTGTGAGATATGTGAGATACATAGTGAGATATGTGAGATACACAGTGAGATATGTGAGATACACAGTGAGATATGTGAGATACACAGTGAGATATGTGAGATACACAGTGAGATATGTGAGATACACAGTAAGATATGTGAGATACATAGTGAGATATGTGAGATACACAGTGAGATATGTGAGATACACAGTGAGATATGTGAGATACACAGTGAGATATGTGAGATACATAGTGAGATATGTGAGATACATAGTGAGATATGCGGGTCCGAGGTCATTTTACAGAAAAGGGAGATAACTCCGGGATTACTGCGAGAGGTGACTACCTTTTATTTGGCTTGGTTGCATCAATACTTCGAAACCTTGCAATATGTCTCCAATAGTTTTTCATATCTATTAACATGGCCTCATTTCTGGAACAGCCCGAATGTTGTTCTCCTTATTTTTTTAGAAAGTGAATTCGTAACGTTGTCACAATAAAAGAATGTATAGAAAAGCATATATATCTATATGGTATACATATTAATACTATTGTTTGTTTGTTTTTAATCCAGATCAAAATGACATGGAAGGAAGCACCTATTACTAAGGGTCAGTTCAACTACGTGGCCTTCACCGGGAAATTGAAGGGCAAACAGGACGAGGAGGAGATGAAGGCATAAACCTTGACCTTATATATAACCTTGACCTACATGAGCCTTACACGTAACTTTGACCTACGTCTTAGTGTCGTTGCCAATGCATACTAATCGTAAAGCACATTACTGTGAAGTGTAACTGTGTCGATACGTAACGTCAATGTGTACATACGACGTATTATTGAACATTGAATTTATCTAGTCTTCTGAATTTTTTAAAGAACAATGATATCAGACAAATTACAGTGTGGATGATTGTCAAGTGAACGAATGTGTACCATACATGTATATACGTTTGTATTTATACTATCTCAGTAATAAACATCAACAGAAATGACCTTGCTTTCTCTTGCCAATTCTTTATCACGTGCGGCCTATATCCGAAGAACAGGAGGGGTAGTTCCATGGTTATACAACTTCTGTACGTCTACAATATATGTGACGTTTCGGTGTAGATGCTAACACCGTTATCAAGCAAGTGGTTGGTTGGTTGGTTGGTTGTTTAACGCTGCGCTAAGCAATATTTCAGCTCTATGGCGCCGAGCTGTAATATTCGAGTCTGGACCAGATAATTCAGTGATCAACAGCGTGAGCATCAATCTATGCAGTTGGAATACGATGACATGTGTCAATCAAGTCAACGAGTCTGATCACCCGATCCCGTTAGTCGCCTCTTACGACAAGCATCCGTTACTGAAGACCAATTCTAAGCCGGATCTTCACCGGTCATCAAGCAAGTGATGATAGACATAGAAATAACCCCTTGTTCATCATATCGACTTGTTCATCATATCGACTTTATCGACTTGTTCATCATATCGACTTGTACACGCCACTCAAAGAACCTATATGTGCTGAATAGACGCTTACCTTTTTACATATCATGTCAAGGTAGACATACTCTTTCATATTGTCACATTCTGAACACTAGAAATGTCTTGCATAAATGTCAACCCGGCTGTTGATTTTTATATGCTGTATGAGTAATTTATTTCCGTAGTTTCACTGTATATATCTCGTTTAAGGTGTAGCACAAGTACTAAGTCTTAGATATTTTAAATGATGGAGGATACTGGTTTTTGTTCCCTTGGCATACTGGTTGCATATGAGATCTTCCTTTTCTAAATATATTTATGGAATTTGTGGATGTCAACGTCTGTATCGTGAGGAACACAACAGTTCGGAGTACATGCTCCTGGGGAAGGGGTACAAAATCGACATGAATAAAAAGCCGACATCCAATAACACTTTTGAATGCAATTCAAAGACCATAGACAGATGCCGTTAAGACGTTGACTGACGCATTGGGACTATATTTAAGGTTGAGTTCAGTTGGGTTGATTTTTGCGTCGCAACGAGACCAAGACTGCGCATACAAATTTTCAGTACAAAGTTTAAATGATTTTTTTTTAAACACATATACATTCATTACATTACTTGTGTACAGAAAAAGTCATAGGACCAAATTTAGAAGCAATCAATCCACCGTACACATTACATAGTTACAATTTATGACACAGGTCAATTTCCCTTAAGTAGTTCATAATGAAATGCGTTATTTCGGTTGTACATATATTTTTCATCATCATAACACGCTGATTGATTAATTACTTTATCACCATCATCTCACAGGTCATTCAAAGACAATTTGTCTTCGTCGGAGAGAAAAGTGATGTAAACTCTGATCGGGAAATCTGTATAAATAATATAAATCATCATCATCATAATCATAATCATCATCATCATCACCATCATCTCACAGTTATTATCCTCTGTTAATCATCAATACTGTAAATATCATATTATATCATCATCATATACGTCGATGTTTGTTTCGGAAAAGGTAATATTATTTGTCTTATCGAATGTAAACAGTCATTTTGCATACAAGCTGTTCTTTGATATTCATTCTGTTCGAGTTCGATTATCCTGAAAACCGCTGTGCCATGACAAAATTTTATTCAGATTTCGTAGATTCAAGATCAGAGTGATATCCGATGCAGCTGGCTATTTTCATTTCAGCTTTTGCACGTATTTGTTGGTCAGCATACGCTCTCCTTTCTGAAACACCTGCTAGTGAAACAGTCTCGATATAGTTGGAATTTTACAATAAGACGTCTTTCACCAGAGAATTCTTAAGATCATGGAAAGGGTATTGTCCCTTTTGTATTTGCGCCATCATGGTCTACACAATCAATATGAGCTTGTGCCATGATAGAATTGTCCTTGAAAAGAAGAAAACTCAACTCTCAAAACACTCACCACCAGGGAAAAATATTATCCAAAAACGCAACTTGTCCCAATGGATGTCCGTCAAGACCTGTGAAATCAATGAAGGCATTTTTACCAGCATCTTATCTTACTTCTCTGTGATTGATTAAGACAGCATTCCGTAGATCGTCAAGCACATTAAATGTCGATTTTGTTCTACAATGAACAGTATGCAAATAACCCTTATCTGTATATCAAATATTGTATCAGTTCCTTATACATATTGCAATATGTTTTAAACGGCAAGTGTCGTTATTGTAAGAATAGCACGGTCGGAGAGAACATCAACACTAGGCTAAAATCAGAAGAGTAAACACATTTGAACTATCTACATGTACAAATACAACTATGATGTAAATACTCAAGCTTACGAGCAATCAAAGTCTGATTTCAAGACGTACTACAGAGAAAAACCTGAATTAAATGGAAGCAAACACGCTGGAGATAATCAACAAAGGTAGACCTTTAATATTGTAAATCGGTCTCAGAAATCGTTTATAATCAATATCTCCTGGTGAAAGCTTCTATGTATTCAAGTTGAAGACATACGTGAATACTTCGAGTTGAGCCAAGATCGACACAATCGAAAATCAGACGAAAACTGAAAGACTACGAAGGTATTAAGCTTTACTTCGAGACAACCGTAGGTTCGACACATCGAAGTTCAACACAAAGATGTTTGCCTGTACCTCAACCAGCTCTTACTTACCACTGTCGCAACTGATGATAATTCAATGTACGCCTTTGAAGATACTCGTGTGACAAAAATGGCCTCCCTTCGCAGAGGATCGCATCAGCTATCACAGAAATTGATGCTAGATCTAGAGCTGCAATATATAGTTTAAGACGAGAAAAGGCTCTCAGATCGATGATCATGCTGTTGATCACTGGGTTGTCTGGTCCAGACTCGATTGTTTACAGACCGGTGCCATATAGCTGGAATATTGCTGAGAGCAGCGTGAAACAACAAAGCAACCAACCAACGTTAACAATGCTATAACTGCCACACAGAAATGGGAAATATAACTGGGTGTCACATGTAAGAAATGTCTTTTATTTGCGTGGTTAAGTCAATATGTTGGAGTGATTGAGTTTAGTTTTAGCCGCTTTTTAGCAATATTCTAGTAATATACCTCTACAAAAACTGGCAAAAACTTGTTCACAATTCAAAATTTCTTAAGCATTACACCATCCTCAGTTCTACTCAATTTCACAATAATTACATTGCACGCGTATGTTACGTACCATTTCTACATAGGTTCGCACTTCTTAAAAGAAATAACACATTGAGCAAACTGTTTTGTCTTGGTACTTTTGTACATCATTTGGTTTGTTTAAAATAAAAAATCACAAAGCATTTGTTGTTTAGTTCTAATACACGCCACTTGTAGAACACTTGTGTGGAGAAATAACAAGCTACTGCACAGACATTGTACACATACTTATTGTATTTTGACGGAGACTTATAATGGACATTTGGCAGTTACGTTTAATGACTATAGAAGTGATGTTTCCTTATCAATATTCTGATCCATTATCACATCACAGGCATTTTTCAGACTTGAAACATCATTTCGAAATGATCATGTTGCACGCGTTGTTTGGCTTTATACACTCACTGATTAATAAAGGAGAGTATATAATGTGGTTCTTTTGATCTACAAATATCACCTGATGCTGGAAAGCATTGACAGCAGGTAAAAACAGTTTGATTTATATGCTTGGTAGATGTATGCGTGAATACATTTATGAATATCAAAAGCGAAGATAAAATATGTAGATGCTGTATTAATAATAATATAATTAATAAAGAAGACGAATATCATTTTCTTCTTGTATGTATAGGATATAATAAAGTACGTAAAACATATATTAAAGAATTATATTTTGTCCATTCACCCATTGATATATGTTCTTCTCTACTGAATTGTTCAAATGAAATTGCAATTCAAAATGTTGCGGTTTTATATCAAGCCATGATGTAAATTGTATGTATGAAATGTACTAAAGGCCTGTGGCCTCCTCAGTGCTGAAATAAAGATTGATTGAGTGAGCAGTGACACAGTGTAAATGACATACATTTCCCTGCAGTCTGCTGTATTCAGTCTATTACGTGACGTTACTTACACCCCCCGTCGTGTAATGTGTCTTTCACAACCCTGACCTTAAACACATGTATATTACAGTGGTGTATATTGTAGTCGTGTATATTTCAATATGCATATTCGACCCCCAGCCAAGAGCACGTGGTCAGAACATTAGCGGGTGCTCAAATGACCGCTTCATGAGTGACCACGTGGCCAGACTCATTAGATGCGTCAACGTGACGCAATGTTGACTCATTACACAGAGAAACGGTCACACGATATGCTTTTACGCATGGAAGATAGGTGTATATAAACACAGTCGATTTCAAGATTGTCAGTATCACCTCGACTTCCAGTCAGACATCTCAACTCTTCGTTCGCTCGCACCAGCTGATTCAAGGTAAGTTCCTCAAATCTTTTCAGATTCAAGAAACTGTATCTGTAACTGTTTCAAAAGCCATTCTCCTGGATAAATACTCTCCCTCGCTGTTCATGATCCGCGATCGGATTTAGATTTGGCTAAAATCCCCAATTTTACTTCGTATACATTCAGTGGAACCAGTTCGGCTCCAAACTTTATTTTCAAATACATCCGAATTCAACCGGAATTACACGAATGCTCGTAATCTTTCGGAATTATACTCATCACCTGCAAAAGACAAAGGCTGCCGACGATGGTGGAAGATGTAATTTTAGATTCAAGCTTTCATATCGTACAGTAAAATACATGCTTCTTTGCTTGTAGATATCAACAATGGCACCCACCAACGTACTCGCTATGTTCCGCCCTGCTCAGGTCCAGGAATTTAAAGAGGTGAGCAATGTTTTATGTGAACTTAAATGTACGTAGGGATGATGGGACTTGAAATCAAGATTCGGTCATCAGTATTAAAATTCATTTGACTGTGAGTACAACGAGTAGATTCTGTAGCCACGGATCCAAGTAGAACTGCTGTCAAGGAATTAATACAGTGTATATCATATTCGTTGTAACAACTGCGATCTCTCAAATAGTGAAAAAGTGAGTGAGTGTTGAGTGAGTTTAGCTTTACGACGCACCCAGCAATATTCCAGCTATATGGTCTGTAAATAATCCAGTCTGGACCAGACAATCCAGTGATCAACAGCATGAGTATCGATCTACACAACTGGGATACGATGACATGTGTCAACCAAGTCAGCGAGTCTGACCACCCGATCCCGTTAGTCGCTAAATAGTAAATCAGATATGCGATACAACTGCATATATAAACCTGTACACATGAGAACGAAATGCTTTCATGACATTCAATAGGAGATTATGTGTAAGGTCTAGCTTGTACTATATGACACTCATTGACATATGTGTCACGTCTATTTTATGTATTTTTCATGAATATATCTTGCCTGTTTCAGGCCTTTGCTCTGATCGACGTCAACAGGGATGGCATCATTCAGGTTGATGACCTGAAAAGCATCTACGCCAACCTGGGTAAGAGCGAACTTATACAGAATGTTTTATATAAGTAGATGATATAAACAGAATGAGATAAATACGATTGAATAATATGGAATGTCTTCATGCAGAAAGGGGAATTAGAGAGGCCAAGTGATCGAATCGTTCGTTAGTTACGCCGAAGGAACGGGTTCGATTCCATTTTTGGCAAAATTGAAGGAAGACCGTTTTTGGTGTCTGGCGCTGTCACATTGCTTGAATATTGCCTAGAAGGCGTAGATCAATTTGAATTTGAATGGTAGGCCTGCTGTATGTTCAATTAACCCACTGGTACGGGTTGGTAATACCAGCTACAACGACTGTTTTGTCTCCTTGGAAAAACACTTTTAACGAAGTCGCTAAAGAGCCGAGTTAATGCTTACTTTGACATTACTAATAATTATCCACTCCCTCATTCATCCCTTGTTCCTTGACATTTCCAGGAAAGGTTCCATCTGACGCCGAACTGCAGGAGATGCTGAAGGAAGCCCCTGGTCCACTCAACTTCACCACCTTCCTCAACATGTTCGGGGAGAAGATGGGAGGCAAGTCACATGGCAGAACTTTAAAAAACCATTGCATTCTTATAGTTTTATAGAAGATAAATAGATATTGCTGATAAACTAGTGACGTAATTGTTAAAAATAAGTGACCGCAAGGAAAAGTCATGTTTAACACGAATTGGATTATTTGCATTTCGAACTAGATATTGTTCATCTTATACAAATGAATGCTGATTTTAATAAGATTTGTTTTTCTTCTTCAAGGTACTGATTCGGAAGAAACAATCAAGAATGCTTTCGCTATGTTTGATGAAGATGGAAAGGGAACCCTCCCTGAGGATTAGTAAGCATTTCTATACTATATTATAACATTTACAGTATTTCAACTGGCGTTCTTCTTGAGTCGGATATATATATGCATCATTTAAAAAAGACATGATTTATAGAATTGAATATACTTTGATTGTCTTCACCAAATTGTCCTTCATCTCCACCAAGTGTTTGAATCCCATAATTGCCCCAAGTATGACCTTTGGTCTGCTCGCAATTTTCTATAGTAACACATTAACCGGCCATGTCGTTATGTAACGTTGGTCAAAAGCAGCCTTAAATTCAATTGAATCTGTTCACTTTTGACATAGTCTAAGTTCATCATGGTTTGTGTGAAACTCACTCATCATATCTATCATTTTACTCTACTTCAGCATCAAAGATCTCCTGCAGAACATGGGAGATAACTTTACCCAAGATGAGGTGAGTTTACGAAGCAGAATGTTTATAGTTCTCAGTGCGATATTCAGACCAGGGTCATTTAACAGAAAAAAATGGAGCCTACTCCGGAATTCAGAATTAATGGTAGCACACTAAAAAGTTTGGTGCTCCGTTTGTCCGTATATACGTTCAAAGCAATACTTCACGATTTTCACTCTTGTTTTGTATCAACGAATTGTATTCACTTCAATCGATAAATAATGTATGGAGTGACATATATACAGATATACTGTATGACTTGATGCTCATCATTTTTAATCCAGATCAAAATGACATGGAAGGAAGCCCCCCATCACTAAGGGTCAGTTCAACTATGTGGCCTTCACCGGAAAGCTGAAGGGCAAACAGGACGAGGAGGAGATGAAGGCATAAACCATGACCTTATGAATAACCTTTATCGACCTCAAACGCAACGTTGATCGACGTCTTGGTACCTTATACTGTATACTGGTGTGCAAGTTGGTTACCATGCAATGAATGTGTGGTGATAACAATACCGGCCATGTCAATTTGTACATAAGATTTGATATTATAATAGGAAACATTTGTGTAATCGTTGACATTATTTAATTTATTTACAGTGATATCGGACAAATATCGGAATAGATGTATGAACGAATATGTTACGAAACATGTATATACGTTTTTGTTTATACCACTTCAACAATAAATATGACCAGAAAAGGAATTGCTTTCTCTTATCATTCCTTCACATGTGTGAGAATTCAGCTTGTCTCGAACGGATTTGTGTATGTTTACAAATGGTGCATAGTCGTCCGTTACGATCTATATTGCACATCTAATGACAAATCTGTATCACCATGATAACTGTCACCCATGACCAACAATTTTCCTCAATGAAGCTTCCTATTGTTATTTGCTTGCACATTCACGTATCTATTACCTTATCACATTAGCGATTTCACCGTGATAAAGAACACATCGACACATTTACAAATACTCCCTAAAACACTCTCTCACTCATCATGCATTTTCTCTCTTCCCCAAAACTCACTCGCTCTCCCTAGAACAATCTTTCATTCAACATACATTTTCTCTTTCAACTATTTCACTCTTTTTTCCCCAAACACACAGTCTGTCTCTCATCCGGAACACTCTCTCACTCAAGATACATTTTCCCTCTTCCCTAGAGCTCACTCGCTCTCCCTAGAACACTCTCACTCAACATACATTTTCTCTCTTCCCTAGAACTCACTCTCTCTCCCTAGAACACTCTTTAACCCAACATACATTTTCTCTCTCAAATATTTCACTCTTTTCGGACAAAACACACAGTCTGTCTCTCCCAAGAACATTCTCTCACCGAACATGCATTTTCTCTCTCACCTTTGTCGCTCTCTTACCCAAACCACACACTCTCTCCCCCATAGAACACTCTCTCACCGAACATACATTTTCTCTCTCACTTATAACACATTCTTAACCAAAATACACACTCTCTCTCAGGCCCCTAGAAAACACTCATACCCAACATACATTTTCTCTCTCACCTATCGCACTCTTTTACCCAAAACACACAGTCTGTCTCTGCCCGTGAACACTCTTTAACCGAAGATACATTTTCTCTCTCACTTGCAACACTCTCCGACCCAAAACACTCACGCTCTCAGTCCGATAGATCACTGTCTCATCCAACATCATCTTTCTCGCCGAACATTTTCTCTTTCACACAACACTCTCTCACCCAAAACACACACGCTCTCAGTCCGATAGATCACTGTCTCATCCAACATCATCTTTCTCGCCGAACATTTTCTCTTTCACACAACACTCTCTCACCCAAAACACACACACTGTCAGTCCGATAGATCACTGTCTCATCCGCCATCATCTTTCTCGCCGAACATTTTCTCGTTCACACAACACTCTCTCACTCGAGAGAAATGCGAGTACACGTGCACGTATACGTATACTGAATGTTATTTGCCCTTCACCACCCACTGTTTCTCAACAACGGGCGGTGGGGTAGTCTAGTGGTTAAAGCGTTCGCTTGTCACAATGTGTGATGCCCATTTCTGTTGTCCCACGCCGCGATATTGCTGGAATATGATAAAAGCGTCGAAAAACTAAACTTGCTTACTCAACACAATTTGATCTATTTCCAATATTAACAAAACAATACAAAAATCAACGCACAACGTATTTATACCACATCTGATTGAATAGCTTGAAAATACTCATTCTCAGTGCAACATGGATGTTAATCTGCATATGGTTATATCAATGTCCCATTCCTTTTATTGAATACTGAATTTTAAGAAAATCATTAAATGCTGCAATAGACAATGGCTCTGCGGACACCTGTCCTTGGGGTATCCTCCCATTTGTCAGACATCCCAATAGTAAGACAGGTTAAAACAGCTAATCTCATGGGTGTTACCTATTAATGAAATAGGATTGGCCCATAAAATAAAGAGCGTCCACCCGGAGAGCGGAAGGTCGCGGGTTCGAATCCCGACCGCGTCATACCAAAAGACGTTAAAATATGGTACTTGTTGGTCCCTGTCTGGCGCTCGGCATTAATGGGTACAACAAGGACTGGTCGACTCGGAGTCAGTATAATGTGTCTGAGTGGGGTATTCATGCTTCACTGCGGCATGGTATATCAGTGGGCAAGCACTATAAAACCAGCTCAAGTCTGGACTAGTACAAGCAGCCGCACATACACATACACACGCATTGCACGTCGTCATATGAGCGAAATATTCTCAAGCACGACGTTTAACCCACTTTCACCTCACCTCACCTATACATGAAATCCAACAACAGCTGTGAATACCTTCACTATGAAGATTATATACATTAGACTCTACTTAATTCACCAACAACCATATACAATGGGGCACCTTTCTTTATGGTAATAATTTTCTCCGAAACATTCGACTTCAACACAATACATGACTTTAGTAGCTTGTTGACAGAGATTTGATATAGATAATTTACAAGAACACTTTTTATCAAAAATAACTCCAAGATATTTTTACACAATAACAATTTTCCTTAGGTTCAACAAACTGGTTGAAATATCCAATTTGGACATAACCATTTGTATATGGGTGTTGCGCTAATTAATCCCTAGTCCGGTGTCTAATAGGAACATATCGTCCTTGAAAGAAGTAATGAAATTTATTACGTAACCAAACGCATGGCCTCCCCAGATGTACGTGACTGTGACCCTGAGGGAGAATTTTATAGTCTGATTGATATCATAATCTCGCTACTGTGTAGTGCGCTATGAAAGGGCTTTAAGAGAGTCATTAAGTGATACTCCTCAGAGCGTGAATGCTATAATACGATTCGGTATGTACTAGCCTTGCTTTAACCCTTAGAGTTTGTATGGTAGCCTAGTAGTTAAAGTGTTGACTTGTCACGCCGAAGAACCGGTTCTGTTCCCCACATGGGTATAAAGTTGAAAGCCAGTTTCTGAGCCCGTGATTATGTTAGCTTGGAGAATAAACCATAACACAATATTCATGGCTTGTCATGGGCTTGTCAATGAAACATTTCACTCTGCGAGGAAAATGAAATATCATGTTTCAGTGTTTATTCTTGATTCTTAAGCCCAATTCGTAAAAGGATTTCACATATTTATTGTTTAATAACATGAACAAATAACAATAACAACTGGTATTTTGGAACATGGAGCTTCTTTATAGTACGTCATCATTTCAACTGACCCGTGAAGGTCCGGGTTAGAATATTGATCTTCAGTAACCCATGCTTGTTGTAAGAGGCGACTAACGGGATCGAGTGGTCAGGCTCGCTGACTTGGTTGACACATGTCATCGTATCCTAATTGTGCAGATCGATGTTCATGCTGTTGATCACTGGATTGTCTGGTCCAGACTCGATTATTTACAGACCGCCGCCATATAGTTGGAATATTGCTGAGTGCGGCGTAAAACTAAACTCACTCACTCATCATTTCAACCAATTATTGTTGCTCAGTATATCAACCACTGGTTTGCAAAGTATGTACTCGATAACGCCAAAGCCTCCATCACAAGAACAGTACCGTATAGCATGAAATAAGGAACAAGAAAAACAGCTAATGAAATTCATTTGGCCTTGCCACTCATTCCAAATATCCTAAGGCTTGTCGAAATACGATGTCAAGGTCTATTAAACAGGCTCGTTCACAAGGTGAAATTATATATAACAATCTACTTACTCCAGTATATTAAACACAATCACATTGACGGATCTATAGCCACTAACTGACGTCACATTCACGGGTCTGCAGCCACCAGGCGCATTGCGCCATTTGGTAGTGAGGGCATTTACGTGTACATACCCCATAAGCTGACGGGGCCTGATCCAGGCCTATAAGTACCACAGCAACAGGCGATTGCTCCACAAACATGGCGCTGCCCAGGACGAGCCTGATATGGGCTCTGCTCATCGTTTCATTCACAGTCGTAGGTAAGACAGTATGATATTTTATTCATGTGTACAGGTGTACCTATCATTATTATGAAAGATTAAGAACATTAACAAGTATTTCCGATGGATGCATCATGAGATTTGTAGAAGCTTTAACTTGAAATGCTTGTCATAAAACCAGATATCCTGAAAACTATAGGTTTGAATATTTCTCCTTTCTTGTCAAATAAGTCTGTACCATAGTATTTTCATGTGAGGAACGACCGCAAGTGAAAATGGCAACTCTGTTGGTTTCATGAACATGCTATGTGTAAAAAAAGCCAAATGTTCTTGGTTTATACCAATTTCTTGTCGATCTGACATGTTTGACAAACAATAATAGGTAATTATATAAATGTAACAATCAAGGTAGAAATGTGCTTTTTCAGAAGAAATATCCTGTTTTCTAAGATATTAAAAAAACCATTTCATTTCTCAATACATAATACATATGCTTATTGGTCATGGGCGTTTCTGGTGTATTCTGAACGAAGAACTGTCACGTTTTCAGAAGGTCAAACACGTTTTGCATTTGTGTAAAGTTTACTTAAACCTTCAGCTGGGTTTATACTGCATGAGTGATGAAGAGGAACGCCTTTGTATGGATAGTCAACTTCTTTATTGCAGTAGAGAAGTTGTCGAACCATAATAAAGTGCCGGTCTTCGTCATACCAGCTTCAAAATGCCACTAAAAGAAGTTCTGCACAAATGATGTTGAAAACTTAAGCTATTTCTGTATACAAGAGCCAACGTATGAAAATCCAGTTAGTTATGTAAGTCTAAAACAACAACTCGTCTCCCGTGGACTATTACTGTAAGAATATCTGTATCTACCTAATGAGGAATAGTACCTACCCTTAACTCTTTAATGTTTGTATGTCCAGGGGATTTCACTGGCAACATAACGGTATTCACGGAGTTCTTTTGCTTGTCACAATGTCAGATGAAGTAAGCAGGTCCATGTGAAATAGATTAAATAATGATTAAAGTTTAAAGTCACTTTGGCAATATTTCAGCTATATCGTGACTAAATCAAGTTATTGATAATAATGATGTAAGGTAAATTATACTGACTGACTGACTGAGTTTAGTTTTACGCCGCTTTTAGCAATATTCCAGCAATATCACGGCGGGGGACACCAGAAATGGGCTTAACACATTGTGCCCATGTGGGGAATCGAACCCGGGTCTTCGGCGTGACGAGCCAACGCTTTAACCACTAGGCTACCCCACCGCCCCTAAGGTAAATTATAAAAACCCGTCACCGAAGGACAGTAAAACAACTAGATTATCACAGACATAAATTTAAAACTAGTAATTAAATCTAAAACATATTAATTATAATTGACAATACGATATAAAAACAGGCTATAGACTGTCAACAACCGAAGGTAGATCACCATACTAGGGACCATGGGGACTTACATTACTTTTGCTACCTACATGGACCATAGTGGGATTTACACCATCCCTTCAACTGTCAGCATTTTTTGACAATCTAGCCATAACATTAAAATAAAATATATACTGCAGTTTAAAAGCATAGTAAGCTTAAATTTACTTGAATTGTTTTGAGACTGGATTAAATAGTGTTGTTAGTACTTTACGCCCTATGTAAATATACTGACTGTATATACCGAGTGAGTGAATGAGTGAGTATGGTTTTATGCCGCTTTTAGATTTTAGCATTGGACATTTGTTCTTAACAGGTTAAAGCAGTTGAACCGTCCTGTGTTTTCGCAGTCAAATCCCCTCTTCTCAATCATGGCTTCTTAATTATGTCCATCTGTGTGCGTAGGTTCAGTTAAACTCCTTGTTTGACTTGGCCTTGGCCAATCATACTTGTTGTAAGAGGCGACTTTGTTTGTGCATCTCATCGCATTAGGAGTACGTGGATCGATGCTCATTAAGTCAGTCACTTGATTGTCATGTCCAGAATCGATTACATGTATTTACATATCGTACATCTGAGAGCGGCGCTAAGATGTAAACAAACAAGCTGACTAATCTGAATGCACTGTACGCCTGATTACAAATGAAAAAGATAAAACCAGCAACATTTTGAGAATAAATATTGAAATTTATTAAATATCGAAACTGAAAATTGGCGTTCCACAATCAACATATGTTCCAGAGACATCCAAAGTTCACTCAAAGCCACTAAGTGGTTCCAGTCACATAATTTGTCACTTTAATGCCTTGTATGACCACCCGGTACCTCCAGACATGCATGAACTCCAGACATGTGGAACCGAAAACATCAGACGTCTGATGATGTTACGTGGTCCCGTTCGTCCTCCAGAGCTTGAGTCAATCACTGCAAGAAATATGTCATGTCCATTCAGTCCCTCATGGTTGAAATAAAGTTTGGAATTGTTGGGTTCTATGTCCATAGTCGACATAACCTATGGAACATCATACTGGCATGTGAAGGTATGTCTTCATGTGCCAAATGTTTGGTCAAAACATAAAGTATTTCCATGTATTCATAACGGTGGCTGAACATAACCTATGGAACACCATACTGGCATGTGAAAGTATGTCTTTGTGTGCCAACTGTTTGGTCATAACATGAAGTATTCCTATGTATTCATAATGGTGATTGAACATAACGGTATGAATGTCCTTTCTGTGTTTAGTTTTATACGGAACTGAAATAATGGAATTAAAGACAACGAATATGTCTAAACTGTTCAGAAGGGTTTGAAAAGGGTCTGAAATGAAAGGTTACTTATACGTCTTCCACAATGATGAAATGGAATTGGGAATGTTTGTCTGTCATGCAACATGTCTCGTAAGACGTTTCAAATATATTGTTCATATGATGCTGTTATTGATAGTGTTTGAGTACAGTGTTACCTGATATCGAGTGAGTGAGTGAGTATGGTTTTACGCCGCTTTCTAGCAATATTCCAGCAATATCACGGCGGGGGACACCAGAAATGGGCTTCACACATTGTACCCATGTGGGGAATCGAACCGGGTCTTCGGCGTGACGAGCGAACGCTTTAACCACTAGGCTACCCCACCGCCCCACCTGATATCGAACCCAAATGCTGTGTTAATCTCTCATTGCGCAAGAGGTAGCTTTTCATAAACAGCTGCTTTGTTCTGAATCTGATGTTCATGTGTGTGCCTCTTAAATGCCCTTCTGCATTTGGGTTGGTGAGCATTATTTCTGTCTGCTAATATACTGACGTTCATAAGAAAGTACACACCTGGTGTTTTGGGACTATTTCCATTAAAACCATAAATATTTCGCTAGCAATGTTGTAATTGGGTACAATATCTGGTGTTTTGGAAACACTTGCACAATGTTTGTGACAAGGCAGAATCAAAACACTTTTAAAAATATAAATGCTGTTTTAAAGAAAACATTTTACCAAAGAATCAGGTGACTGTGTACTTTCTTCTGAACGTCAGTTTATATACTTTAATGAAATTGTCAGGGATTGCATTCAGAATTATCAAATAATCTTATTAAAGATCGGTAACTATAGCTGTTATTTGTAAGTCAAATACGTTCTGGAGTAACCCCACCTGATGTGAATATATACTAACAGGAAACAACTTATGTCATCATGTTAACTTAGCCTGACTGCACAAGAGGAATGCATTGCAACCCACCCCCCAACCCTCCACCCCCGTTTCTATTTCATATACAAGTGGCATGTACAGCAAGAGTATTGTTTGGGTTCGTGTTTTAAATATCACATTATTTTATTAACGTGTTAGTGTTTGTTTATTGGGGGCTCCTATCACTTGCAATAAAGTCTTATGACGATAAACACGATTTCTCCACACCTGGTCTGGATCACGTTATTTCATTTCTTGGTTGGGTAAAATATCTGTAATCATCATAACATATGATTTGGGGTAGCGTTCTGCAACCTGGCTGGGGGGGATGTTTGGTCGGGGTGTCTGCATTCGGGACCTTGGTGGGGATTTCAAACTATTTTCTTCTGGATGTGAGGACGGCATTTAGGCTTCCCACGCCCTTTTCCTTTTTGACGAGTACCACACGTAACTGTGACTGTTATTTTCGGGTAAACAGTTGAAAAAATGGGCTTGCCATTGAATGAATTTGTATGGTGTCCCACTTTTCTCGCCCACCACATGTCACGTTTATTTGCTAGTGATTCATTCCCGCGAGGTAGTGGCGTCTAGTCGACCCTGGCAGGTACCCATGTACTTATCTTGAAACTGTTTTGACGCTTTTTTTGAAATCTCAGCATGAAAGATGATGTCATTGCAAATACAGCCATGTGACAAATTGATGTCAATTTTTCAATGCTTTATCCCAACCCAACCATGCCCAACCAATCTTAGAGTGTAAGTTGACGTACACTGCGCTGACGTACAGTAGAGTCATGCTATAGGAATCTTAAGATGTGAACTTTTTCTGGTACATGAACCTTTTATGATGAGAGACGCATTGACAGGGGGGTTATTGTCAACTTTGGAAATGATTTAATTGCACTTCAGTCAACCGAGACTATTGTGGCGACTCTATTCTTGGCGTTCCAGCTTTATGAACAACATGAAAAAGCGACACAAAATACATACCCTGGAAGAGGCATAGTATATGTGGACACAAAGAATAGGCTGAGAAATACATCCACATGTCAGTTCACACAAGGCCGCAAAAAAATAAGTTAAAAATAGACAGTAATTGTGTAGGTATGTTTACTGATTCACAGCTTGAGCACCCAGGTGTCAGAGGAGATACAGACAACGTGATGAATATACGGTTTTTACATTGTATTTCTTAAGCAGGGTACAAACATTAAAGTTCATGTGTATCATGTGATCGCGGATAGAAAGTTTTCACATAGCATCATCTCAGTAAATATGTCAATATCACACATTTAAATCATGATTAAACTATTTAGGAAACTTATATTAATAATATGTGATCTGCAAACGCGTGTTTACTGTATGAGTAATTTAAATGTGATTATTGATAAAGGATTATTGAAATTATTATTGCATAGATACAGACAGAAAATATACCTTGTATATCACAGTAAAACGCTGCCTGTAAATGCCGCCTGTTTAGTAAGCTGATACTGGGCATCGAGAGTTTCCGGGCCCATCGTTTCATACGGAAACAATCCACTGATAAACGACTGGGAACAGCTAACTGGCTGTGTGCTCGCTGTGGCATTGCGTATTCCTTGTTTTGTGCTTTCTTTATGTATTTATTGCTGTGTACTTCTTTCTTTACGTCGTACTTGAAAATATTTCGCTGCGTGTGTATGTGTGGCTGCTTGTACTAGCCCAGACTTAAGCTGGTTTTATAGTGCCAGCTCACTGAGATACCATGTCGCAGTTAAGCATGAATACCCATTAATGCCGAGTGCCTGACAGGGAACAACTAGTACCATATTTGGACGTGTGGTTGTTTTGGTAAAAAAACAAACAAACAAAAAACAAAAACTTCACACACACACGCAAAAAAACCTTATTATTTCCATTCCAACACCGTCGACTCGAACCTAAAACGTACCGCCTCGCGATCGTCATATAAAATGTTTACCTTTTAATCAGTCGCTGCCACAAGTCCAAATAACACGACAAATTGTATTAAGAATTACAATATATGAGAATCAAGAACATTATTCAGATAATTTAGTCTTTAGCATTTATTATTTCCCCCGACCGACCGACCCATGTTCAGAATCTGGTGGCTACGTGAAACGAAAAAAAAATGATGCCATAAGAGACACTAAACTAACATTCTCTTCTTATTCCTTCACGAAGCTGTATGTAACGAAACACATGATTGGTGTTGAGCTAGTGAGCCTGACCATATTAGTACTAACATGACCTTCGTGGAACTACCATTGGACTGTCCCTATTGAGGTACTCCATTGAGTAAGTGAGTGAGAGGCGAACATTGTTTTACGCCCCTTTTAGCACAAGTCCAGCAAAACCAAATCGGGTGACACCAACAATATGCTTCACAGATTGTATCCATGCGGGGAAATCGAATCCCCGGGTTTTCGCGAACACTTTAACCACTATGCTACCCCACCGCCCCTAAGCTTTTCCTAACACTGAACATGATTTCACGTTTTTCAGCGAGTGAGAAGTCGATCCTACAAACTGTGTACGATGCAGAGTCGGCGGGTCAGATCTCAAACAGTCAAAAAAGGCACTGGAACGAAGTCTATCCTATCAACTGTGTACGATGCCGAGTCGACGGGTCAGATCGCCAAAAGTCCACGAACTGACACTGGTGGCAAACAGCGTGTTGTCAAGTGAGTGGTATTATATGCAAAATATACCGAATGAGGGATTTTTACAAGGTTCTTTGCAACATTAAGTCAAATCACGGTGTTTTTGTTTTACATCTAGAATTCTATGGCGCATGGGTAAATTTGATCACATTGATACATATGAAATGTTATTTTCGTAGCATGCTTAAGAAACAAAATGTAAAAAACGTTAATTCAGCAACTGTGGCAAGTCGGACCAGAACGAAAGTAAAGTGAGTGAGTGAGTTTAGCTTTACGCCGCTTTTAGCAATATCCCCACCAATATCACGGTTGTTGACACCAGAAATGTTCTTCACACATTGTACCCATGTGGGGAATCGAACCCGGGTCTTCGGCGTGACGAGCGAACGCTTTGACCACTATGCTACCCCAGCGCCCCTAACAAAAGTAAAGAGATACGTCAATGTTATTTCTTTTTGAGTTTTACGCATGTTGTGTGTAACCCGTGAAGATCCAGGTTAGAATTGATCTTCAGCAACCTATGATTGGCCATGAAGAGGCGACTAACGGGATCAGGTGGTCAGATTCGCTGACTTGGTTGACATATGTCATCGTACCCCAATTACGTAGATCGATGCTCATTATGTCAATCACTTGATTGATCTGGACGCGATTATTTACAGAACACCGCCATATAGCTGGAGTATTGCTGAGTGCGTCTCGCTGACTTGGTTGACGCATGTCATGTAGCCCAGTTGCGAAGATTGATGTTCATGATGTTGATCACTGGATTATCTCGATTATTTACGGATCACCGCCATATAGCTGGAGTATTGCTGAGTGCGGCTCGTATTGTCATGTAGCCCAGTGCGAAGATCATGATGTGATCTTCGTTATTTACAGATCACCGCCATATAGCTGGAGTATTGCTGAGTGCGGCTCACTGACTTGGTTGACGCATGTCATGTAGCCCAGTTGCGAAGATTGATGTTCATGATGTTGATCACTGGATTGTCTGGTCCGGACTCGATTATTTACAAACCGCTACCATATAGCTAGAATTTTGCGACGTTAAACAACAAACAACTGAAAACCAGACATTTGGACTTAAAATGACGTCACCTCCTCACGTATCTATGACATGACTTTGGAAATGCGAAGTTAAACAGCAAACAAACTAAATAAAAGCATGTTGTTGTGTTGTAGACGGCAGACATGTGAGCCCGAGCGCTTCAGGACAATAGACGGCGCGTGCAACAACATCAACAACCCCTCCTGGGGGTCCACCAACCAGAACTTCAGGCGAGTCCTATCAGCGGTATACAACGATAGTAAGTGCGAAGACTAAATCGACTGATTCTTCAGACCCGCTGAAAAGAAAACTGAGTAGCAGTACCGTATTTCTCTTTAATTTTAAAATTTGTTGCAGTATTTAATCTAATGTATAAACCGACATTTTTAGACGTTAGAAATTATGAATATCTGTGTACACGTTTTCGTAAACGAGTGGTGAGCCTGCACTCACAACTGGCGATATTGCTGAGTGCAGCGTAGATCGATGCTCATGACGTTGATCACTGGATTGACTGGTTCAGTCTTGCTATTTACAGACCACTTCCATTTAGCTGGAGTGCAGCGTTAAACAGCAAACAAACAAGCACACAAAATATTTCGTCATTTCCCGATCAGTTTGATACCCGTGAAGATTCCAATATGCATCTGTCTTCAGTCACCCATGTTTGTCGTTAGAGGCGACTAACGGGATCGGATGGTCAGGCTCGCTGACTTGGAATAACTCAAGTGGAACTGTCTGCGTCTTAAACTACGGTTCAACCACTCTAGTAATTACTGGATTGTCTGGTCCAGGCTCGATTATTTACAGACCGCCGCCATATAGCTGGAATAATGCTGAGTGCGGCGTAAAATCTAAAGTTACTTACTCACTCAATCACTTTCAGTAACTTAAGTCGGAATTGGATGTGTGCCGATGAGTCAGAGGCTTGTCACAGTGAGTCAGTGAGTTTAGTTTTAAGTTTAGCAATATTCCAGCACTATCGAGCCGGGGGACACCAGAAATGGGATTCACACATGTGTACCCATGTGGGAATCGAACCCGGTGTTCGGCGTGACGAGCGAACGCTTTAACCGCTAGGTTACCCTACCGAGTTTCACTGAACGTGAAACGTGAAAGACCTGCATTAATGCGTGCTCTCCCCCCGAATAAATTTTGCGACGTTGAAGAAAACTCACTCAATCACTCACTTTATCGCTAAAACACATTTTAGCTTCTCTACTTCATTGTTCCGTACCTTCCAGCTAACGGCACTCCTCGCATCAATGCTGTTTCCGGGTTACCTTTGCCAAATGTCCGCACAATCAGCAATAATGTTCACTTCGAGTTGAACCGGCCTTCTCGCCGCCTCAACGTAATGGCCATGCAATGGGGTCAGTTCCTTGACCACGACCTGACGGGTACCCCCGTCACTACCAGTAAGTGCTATCAGTGTGATTAAAATCTATGTCGACCTGCATCATTTCGGGTTGTTTGACAATATCAAAATATCACGCCGTGATACAACGGAACTACTCAACACGAACTACATTCATTGTTTTCAATTTGTAAGGTGTTCATTACTCTGTAGCAGCAGTGTAGCAGTAGTAGCTGAAGTTGTAGTAGGAGGAGGAGGAGGAGGAGCAGTGGAAGTAGCAGCGGCAGCAGGAGCAGCAGTTGTAGTTGCAGTAGCACCAGCTGTAGTAGCAGTAGTAGTAGTAAAAGGAGGAGGAGGAGAAGTAGCAGTAGTAGTAGTAGTAGTAGTAGTAGTAGTAGTAGTAGTAGTAGTAGCAGTAGTTGTAGAAGCAGCAGCGGCAGCTGTAGTTGCAGCAGCAGCAGTAGTAGTAGTAGTAACGGTAGTAGTGGTAGTAGTAGTACTGGTAGTAGTGGTAGTAGCTGTAGTAGTGGTGGTAGTAGTCGTAGTAGTAGTAGTAGTAGTGGTAGAAGTAATAGCAGTAGTAGTAGTACTAGTCGTAGTAGTAGTAGTAGTAGTATTAGTAGTAGTAGTAGTGGTAGATGTAATAGTAGCAGCAGCAGGTGCAGCAGGTGTAGTGCAGTAGCAGTAGCACCAGCTGCTGTAGTAGTAGTAGTAGTAGTAGTAGTTGCAGCAGTGGAAGTATCAACAGCAGGGTCAGCAGTAACATTGGTGGTGGTGGTTGTGGTAGAGGCAGTAACATGGAGACCGACTGTCATTAAACCCGGTTGAAATTGATTGTGGGTGCAGGGAGGCAACTCTGACTAGTGGCTGTAAAACTGTTATGAATGGATGCTGAAACAAATTTGTTGGTTTTTTTTAATGAAAGCGGAAGGGATAAATTAAAGCAAACATAGGGACATAGGTGAATAACGTTACATCAGTCGTCACAATGACCACTTACTTTTCTACTTTTCTATCTCTTCATTAGACAACGGTGAAAAGATCGAGTGCTGTAATTCTGTCGAAGATGTGACTACAGAGTGAGTTGGGCCCTTCGAGATAAGAGAAGTTTCTAGAAAAGGGAGACAACTCAACTGGATATCTCCATGGAGCAATTAAGACTCCGAATTCTAAATAAAACGTTATATTGAAGTAAAGCTAATCCACAATTAACCTCAATGATCAATATGTATGTTCTGCTTTCGAAACAGTAATTCTTAAATTTCTTTGTAGATATTGGAGAACTGTTCTATTCCATTAAGAAATGAACCCATAGTCAGTGACAAATGTCACAACATAACACATTTATCCAATGACCACTCCGAATTATATATTCCCAATGATATCCTGTTTGCAATGTTTCAAGTCCCACCAACCCCTGTTTCCCGATATCACTGCCACTTCGGGACCCAGCCTTCCCCAACAGAAACTGCATGAACTTCGTCCGCTCCGAGCAAGCTGAGGTCTCTCCTGGAGGTAAGGGTGTTTGTCTGTATGTCACTAGTCTGTCTCAGTCCCTGAGCCACACTATTTTCCCTACTACCTAGCCTTCCCTGCAATGCTAAAGGTTACAAAAAACAAAATGTTTTCCCATAGACTTCTATAGTAACGTTATATATATTTTTAAAATCATCCAGGCTGTCAAGAGCCATGAGTCCATGTACACATGGGTACAGTCTGGCCTTTGAACTTCAATAAATTCACAAATTCCGGCTAGCTTAGGACCCCCATATTTTTCGAAGCTGAACATATCAACCCTAGCTTCGCACCAAATGTCACCTACTTGAACATATCTGTGCACACATTTAGCATAAGTCATCGTGTTAAAAAATGTAGTACTAGATATTAAAAAAATGTGGTGAGTTTTAATTACTGGACTGATATACATTTAAAAAACATAGGTATCTTACATAATATCATCCAATCACAGGTGTCACATGCCTCCATCAGAACATTCGTAACTACTCGACTCTTTCTGTGACCTACAAGAAGACTCGTAACTGTATAGTACGCCATTATTGCCAAGTGTCGTGGCAAACCAATCAAATCGCGCGTAGTAAAATGTGAAATGAACTCAAATAATTTCTTTGCGATTATCGATTTCATTATTATTTCTGTGAGTTTAAAATTACCTTGTTACTGATATTTGTTAACTGCATAAGAAATTTACTTAAGGTGACTTTCGTAGCCATGTTTGGAAATTCAGAGTTATCTTTCCTTGAAAATAGGCCTGAACTCGCTCAGGGAACAGCTGATTTATTTAGTGTGGTAGAATCTAAAGCCGTAAATGAAGCAAGTCTAGATTACACCAGGTTCCTGATTCTCCCAACTCACTGGGGCTCCTTTTAAATGTAAATGGGTTTATTTGTTATGATCAGAATTATATATATTCAGGGACTAAGTGTTAATCTGGCATGTCACCAATATGACATCTATATCACGACGTGCTGTGAGTAATCGGGATCATACCAAACTGGTGATTGATATTATGAACAACGACCGACGGTATCGGGTCGCCCAATCCACCGTAGTAGTCTGTCTCTCATGGCAAGTGTCGGCTGCTAGGCATCTGGTCTAAACCGGAATCGGCCGCCTTCTTGTTCCAGCCGGCAAAGCTTCGAGCTGGAGTGCAGAGATTGGGGATTCGATCCCTGCTCTCATCACACCAGTCGTTAATAGATGACAGTCAAATACTGATGTGTCGAACTTAAAGTATATCGAAGGTCGCTACAACTTCTACACAACGTTGTTTGGCTGAACTTCTAACCCAACCTGCACCTGGCGCTCAGCATTAATGAGATAAACAAACGACTGTTTGGGTCGTTGTTAGTCTGTAATTTTGTATTTAACAATAATGTTGGTTTGTTTGGTTGGTTTGTTGTTTGCACGATTTGTTCCAGCCCCCCGGGAACAGAAGAACTCCCTGACAGCCTTCATCGATGGCTCCCAGATCTACGGAGCAAATTCTGAATTGACGGAGAGTCTCATGGACCACACGGGCGGTTAGTATCCATCACTTCATATGTAACAAGGCAGATGTGAGCGAGTGAGAACTTTGACTGAGTCAGTGAAGGATGGAGAGCGAGACAGTGAGTGTTTCAGAGGTTGGTTTGTTCGTCGTTTAAAGCCGCACTCAGCAATATGCCTGCTATATGGCGTCTGTTTGTACATCATCGTGTCTGGACCAGACAATCAAGTGATCAACATCATGAGCATCAATCTACGTAATTGGGATACGATGACATGTCAACCAGGTCAGCGAGCCTGACCACATGGTACCTCTTATGACGCCTCTTATGACAAGAATGAAGATCAATTCTAACTCGGTCGATTGTCTCTGAGAGGGAAGCCCGAGCACACTATCAAGTAAAGGGACGCGGTCACCGGTCTGAAATGAATCTAACTCACTGATTCCTATAATCTTACCACAGGTCTTCTGAAGGTGACGTCAGACAACCTGCTGCCAGCTGGAGCGACGACAGCGTGCGTTCGTGACCCCACTGACCCAGAAGACGATTGTTTCCTTGCAGGTTGGTGTCAACGATTGAGGTCCTGAGAGGGCAGAACACTTTTTTTAAATGACACAATATTAGTGTCATGATCAATACGAAAGTTTCAACCTCGTCTCACTGTCAAGGGAATTTACCCCCACACCCATCGCCAATAAAAATGAAATAATGAAATAAATAAATAAAATAATAAAAATAATAATAGTCCCTTTTGACTACTTCCAAGATTCAGGATTTAAGCATGCTAAGTATGCGGACCTCGCCTTTAAAATGTCTCACTTGCATCCCAAGTACACTGTCGTCAGAGACCCCATTGTTCTCGGTGCCCTTGGTTTGGCACCTCCTGATCTCTTGGCGCAGATCAGGAGAGTGCTCGGGTTCTCCACCGGGAGCACAGCCCTTCTGATACTCTGGGTAATGCAGAAGGCTGCAGCGTTGGGGAGTCTACATATTTCCCGGAAAGTTCTTGGTGGATTCGACTAGGCAGCGTTTCCTGGGAGAAGTCCCATTCGCTGTCTGGGCTGCGTGTAGAGGGGACAAGGGCCCTGAGCTGATGATGAGCCTTACCAGCCTGACTGTGCCAGGATCACCCTAACCCTCTCTGCTGCATACTATTTTTAATCTGTAAAACGTAAATAAATAAAAATAAAAATGAATAATTATAATTTAAAATATTGATAGCGAATTGTCTCAAGCAAAATACGAAAATCAAAGTAATTTTGCTCACTACTACTTACCATCATCATCATCATCAATCAATCTTCAATTATAATTATCAATATGACATTCTTTTATGCCACAGCATAATAAAATTGACAATGATAAATATTACATTCCTTGTTGACAAACAGTGTAAATATACTCATGCAAATAATGGTTGTCACCCCTTTCAATTTTCTTAATTGAAGGGGGTGGTGGGGGAGGGGGGTGACAACCATTATTGGCATGAGTATATTATCACTTATTGGCATGAGCTATTATCATCTGCATCATCCTCAAACTCCTTGTTGTACTCCTTTTCCAGGTGACACTCGTGTGAACGTCTTCCCCGGCCTCTCTGCACTCCACACCCTCTTCGTCCGCGAACACAACCGCATTGCCAAAGAGTTAGCGTCTCTGCAACCAACCTGGTCTCACGAACGTCTCTTCGACGAAACCAGGAAGATTGTCGGGGCACAGTTGCAGGTTATTACGTACAACGAATGGCTACCGGAAATCATCGGCAGGGACGCCATGACCCTGTACGATCTCAGTTCCGGTGACTACTCGTACATCGAGGAGGTCAACCCAACTCTTCCAAACGTCTTCTCAACGGCGTCTTTCCGATTTGGACATACAATGATTCCCAAAACCATGCGCTTCGAAAATAGAAGTGTCTCCTTGACACAACTGTTCAATCGGCCTTCCTACGTCCGAAGGAACATCGTTTCCGTCTTCGAAGGCCTTCTTGATGGAGTAAATCAGGACTTTGATGCCTGGTACTCGGACGAGATGAGGAGTCATTTATTTGAGACCACAGCCGAGACCGGGATGGACATCGTAGCTCTCAACATCCAGAGGGGAAGAGACCATGGCCTTCCTGCCTATAACGCATGGAGACAATACTGCAATCTGCCAAGTGTTACTTTTCCAACCAACGTTTTTGCTGGTCGAGCTGGGCGCGACATAGAAAGGACGTATGCGTGAGTTCAACTTTTTATACCTTATATTTTTAAAACCTTCCGTCGGTTGGTGAATTGCACATACACATTTTTGCATTCTAAAGTGTAATTTCCAAAACTTTCAATTTTAAATTCTGCATTACGATTCTTTTTCCTGATATCAATTGTCACAGGGATGATTACTTTATTTTTACTCAAGGTGTTAGGGAAGAAACTGGAAACACGAAGCTATGAGCTATTAAATAAACCTTTGCTTTAGCTTTGCATCAGCCTTCTCGGGTAGACGGGGTGGTGGGGTAGATTAGTGGTTATGCGTCCGCTCGTCACGGTGAAAACTCGGGTTCGATTCGTCACATGGGTGCAATGAGTGAAGTCCATTTCAGGTGTCCTCCGCAGTGATATTGCTGGAATATTGCTTAAAGCGGTGTGAAGCCATACTCACTCACTCACGTACCTGTACATCCACGCTGATACGATAGATGTTATTAGTATTTTTGTGGTTTGCTGTGAACCCCAAAACGAAAAGAACCCAAGACGCCTTAGTGATTAATTAGTGTTGGTTGGGTTTGGGGTATTTGACTGTGTAATGTTTCCATTAAAACTCATTGTGAACACCGTGGTCGAACATTGATCAAAGCGGTTTCTTAAAATCTCAACATATATAGAACAAATTTTTCACTGAATTATTAAAAATACAATATGTATAAACGTTGCAAAACTGCATTAAAAATCAGATATACATTTTCTGAAACTTATATTCAATTGACATCACGACCCGTGAAGATCCGGGTTAGAATTGATGTTCAGTAACCAATGTCATAAGAGGCAAAAAGTGAGTATGGGTTTAAGCGGCTTTGAGCAATATTCCAGCAATATCACAGCGGGGAACACCAGAAATGGGCTTCACACACTGTACCCATGTGGGGAATCGAACCCACGACTTCAGCGTGACGAGCGGACACTTTAACCATTAGGCTAACCCCATTGCCCCGTAATAGGCCACTAACAGGATCGGGTGGTCAGGCTAGCTGACTTGGTTGACACATGTAATCGTATCCCAATTGCGTACATAAATGCTCATGATGTTGATCACTGGGTTGTCTGGTCCATACTTGATTATATACAGACCGCTGTCATATAGCTGAAATGTTGGTGAGTGTGGCACTAAACAACAAACAAACCAACAATATTATTACATACCCAAATTACTGACTAACAACGACCCAACCAGTCGTTTGTGTTCTCCCAGGAAACGCTGCGTAGTCGAACCCACCAAGGACTTTCCGGAGAATATGTAGACACTGCAGCCTTCTGCATTACCCAGAGTGTCAGAAGGTCTGTGCTCCCGGCGAGAACCCGGGCACTCTCCTGATATGCGCCAACAGATCAGGAGGTACCAAACCAAGGGCACCAAGAACAATGTGGAGTCTGACGACAGTGGACATGGGATGCAAGCGAGACATTTCAAAGGCGATGTCCGCATATTCATCATGCTTTTCCTGAATCTTGCCAATCACGTTGCTGTCGAAAGGGACAGAAAATTCAATGATATAAATATCATATATAATTCATTGGCTTTATCAAACAGGACAAGATCAGGTTTGTTGGCAGGAATTCTTCTGAGGCTGTATATGGGCCTATTCCACAGAAGTTTGAAAGCATCATTTTCCATGACGCCCTGGACATGTTCAGGGTCATACCATGGATGGACCTCTGAGTCAAAGCCACAGACATGGCGGAGATGGTAGTAAAAGCAACGAGCCATGCTATCATGTCGTTTAAGATATGCTGTTTGTGCCAAAGAAGGGCATCCACTGACAAGATGTTGGACAGTCTCTGTAAATTCATTACACAGTCGACATTTCATATTAATATTTTCTTCAAGAATCACATTTTGGCGATTACGAGTGGGAAGTGACTGGTCCTGGGCAGCAAAAAGGAAGCCATCAGTTTCACATTTAAGACCAGCTGACTTCATCCAGGCGAAGGAGTCGGTGGGATTGCTATTCTGTTCCACACACTGCATGTACACACGACACAATGGCTTCTCGGAAAGCTTCTCCACAAAAGACCGACTCTGGGCAGACTTGGTGAAGGACTTCACCTGGTTTACTCCCATCGCTGTACCATCCAGCTGTACAACGCCATCAGCAAAATCAGCATCAAATTTCAGATTCTGTCCAACAACCTCGGCACGCTTAAAACAGCTGTGGAATTCCTTGCTTTCATCATGAGTCTTCACATGCATCACCAGAGGATCATCCGATAAATAAATATGTGCAAAAGTACTCAATAAAATTCTATCATGAAGAGCCTCTACATTAATCAAACCCCGACCTCCAGAATTGATTGGCATATATAAACGGTTAATAGAGGAACGAGGGTGTTGGGATCTGTTATCAGACATGATCCTTCTGATCAGGCCATCAAGACTCTGGATGTCTTGTGTTGTCCAATCAACTACTCCAAAGGAATAGGAAAGGACTTGCACAGCAAAATTATTGGTGGCTTTGACCTTGTTTCGAGCATTTAGCTCTGAGCTCCAGATTTTCTTTAAGCGAGATTTATACTCAGCCCGAAGTTTTTCTTGAATCTGGGCATTTTGGAGCTTGTTTCGAACTTGCATTCCAAGATAGGTGTAGGCCTGATCTTCCACAAGATGCTCAATAACTCCTCCCCCCTGTGACTTGACCGATCCATCATTAACTACCTTGCCACGTTTCAAATGAAGAGTATTACATTTGTCGAGCCCAAATGTCATGCCAATATCATTAGAAAAGGACTCGACAAGGAGAACCTGCTCTTTCAAATTGGTATCTCCTTCGGCAAGGAGCTCGATGTCATCCATGTAAAGGAGATGAGTAAGTGGTGTTGGGGATCTGTGCTGAGGAATTCCGGGATGGTAACCCTCCTCTTTATTGAGCAGAAAGCTCAAAGGATTTAGAGACAAACAAAAAAGCAAAGGACTGAAGGAGTCCCCCTGGAAAATTCCCCTTCTGATTGGAGTAGATTCCGAAGTCTGCACCTGCCCTTGTGAGTACATCTCAAGTTGAGTCGACCAGCAACTCATTAAAGACTTAAGTAAATCAAGTAGTCGCTGAGGGAGGTCAATACAACAAAGAGACAGAATCCATTCGTGAGGGACAGAGTCGTTTGCTTTTTTGTAGTCAATCCAGCACATGGAAAGGTTACGGTGATATGTTTTAGCCTCTTCCAAAATCACTTTCTGTACAAGAAGTTGATCCTTGCACCCCCAACATCCTTTTCTTGCTCCCTTCTGTTCTCTGTAAATTATATCACTGGAAGAGCAGTAAGATGACACGAGGTTTGTCAAACACCCTGTGAATATTTTGTATTGTGTATTTAAACATGTGATAGGGCGGAAGTTTTTGGATCAGTCAAGTCTCCTTTCTTGGGGAGAAGTATTGTGCGACCTTTGCAGAACCATGGAGGAACATCACCTGTGTCCACGAGAGTATTGAAACAGTGTAGTAATGGTGTTTGGACACAGGGGAACAGTTTCCAATACCTGGTTCGAATGCCATCAGGCCCTGGAGCTGTATTAGATTTGGACTTTTTTATAACGCTTTTCAGGCAATCTGGTGAAATGTAACAGACAAACGACCTAGTTACTTTCTCATGCATTGCATGGTCATATTCACGGACCCACGGTGCCTCAAGGTTACAGTCGCCGGGTACAGACTACAACTGTTTCCAGAACCTTTCATTGGCATCCATGGGAGGCTGTTTATCATGCTCACCATCACCGCTTGTTTTAAGTTGCCTTTAGAAGTGCTTTTCATTATTTCTAAAAAGTATATTTTGTTTGATGAATTTGTTTTTCTTTTCCCATTTTTTCTTTCTTTCAGTCCAAACTTTTATTTTTGCCTTAAGAGAATCGACAATTTTGAGAAATACCTTTTCTTTTGTTGTCTTGTACTGTAATTTTAATTTTCTCCAAATTGACTTTTGCCATTTTGACATTGGACTTCCTGATGATCCTATTTTCAGGCACAACTCTATCCAGGAAATGTATTTTCTAGTTTCCGTACTTGAAACCGTTTTTTCTTTGGTGTAGTCTTCTTAGTATTAGATGTTTTTCCTTTGGAAACTGTGTGAAGTTCCTCCAAGGTTCGAGCAGCAGCGTAGACACAACAATTAACTTCATGTAATGAACAGTCTGCAGAAAGTTTCATAGAAATAATGTCATTTAATAAATTAATTAAATTTGTTTGTTGAATTGGCCTCCGTTTTTCTAAAGGTATATCAGATATTTCATCATAAATAGAATGAAACAAAATATACACAGAATTTTCTGAAAGATCTGCAACTGAAAAAGAGGAAGAGTGAGGGTCCGACATTTTGGGGACAATTGGCTCTATGACAGAAGAGTTTCCATCAGAAAGAGGAAAGAGGTTGACACGGACATCCATTAGAAGTTTTGGGTCTGCTGCCACTTGAGCATTCTGCTCATGCAAAGGTTCCTGACGGGCAGCAGTTGTGGGTTGAACTGGCTCACGGCGTATGAGATTTTTAAGACGCCGGAATTGGTCGCGGAGATTTTGCTCCGTCAGGTAAGCATACATGGGCATGACATTGTCCAAATGCAGCTTAAGCGACTTGCCATTGATGCGTGGATTATCAGGCCACCCTGTCGCTTTTGCACACTCAAGTATTGTGGATTTGAGATGGTTTGACCAAGATAATCTTGGCCGGGTTCTGTGCCTTCCCCTGGGTCTAGTCCCATCTCCAGTATGGTTTGTTTCTTTACCGGAGGAAGGCTGACTGGGATGCGGAAGTGAAAGATTAAATTCTTCTTGGCTTGTAGTAATCCAATAAATTACCCAGCTTCGGGGGGTCAGCCCTATCTGGGTGATGTACGTTCAGTTCAGGGAATATAATTCCCCTATCTAGGCCCACCACGAAGAGGCGTACATCATCGGGCCCTTATTATTATTAATATTATTATACTAACATTTGTATAGCGCCGATATCCAGCTCAGCTGCTGAAAGGCGCTTTGTCGTTCCCTCGATCACTGGATGTCAATCTCAATGGCACGTTGAATTATCAATCTCAACTCCCTGGCGACCATACAAACTGGATATAACTGGAATATTGCTGAATGCGGCGTAAATCTAAACTCATTCACTCATTCAAATGACATCACGGATTTCAGTTCTCCTGATGACATTGACCTGTACACTGGAGGCGTCTCTGAAGCTCGAGTTCGAGGGGCCGCTGTAGGGAGCTTGTACGCCTGCTTACTGGGGGAACAGTTTGCTGATCTGAAGTATGGCGACAGTTACTGGTACGAGACCCAAGATCCAGTCAAGGGATTCACTACAGGTAGGTGGAATGGCATCCAGCAAAGAATTCTACTTATGTGTTCTAATTCTATATTGATGTCAAGAGGCGAGGAGGTAAACATTGTTTGCTGTTCGTGCTGAAGGACTCTGTGCGATTGTGTGAAACCCACATCTAGTGAAACCCACATCCAGTGTCCCCGTCGTGATATTGTTTGAACTAACGAAGATCATGGTTCGATTCCTCACACACATAATTTGTTATATCCACTTCCGATGCCTTTCCCCGTAATATTGCTGGAATACTGCTAATAGCGTTGAAAGCATAAACACTCTGTCTGGGGTCTGTTGTTGCAGAACAAATTGCCACCTTGGAGGAGGTATCTCTATCCCGCATCATCTGTGACAACATCGGCATCACCAGCATCCCGACAAACCCTTTCCTTTTGCCTGGAGACAATAAGTAAGTCAAATACGTTGAAAAGAGTTATGTCCCTTACTTCAGGATCAGTTTCTTGTGAGTCAAAGATGGATGCTGTCCAATGAAACGTACCTTTGATTTCTACCATTCATGTACAACATGGACATTTTCTTCTTCAGCAACCAGGTTGTTGACTGCAGTTCGACGGCTATCCCATCCTTAGACCTGTCCTTGTGGGGCCCTGATGAAGACACCACCGAGGGACCAGCGCAACCTCCACAGCCTACGCAACCTCCACAGCCTACGCAACCTCCACAGCCTACGCAACCACCACGGCCTCCACGACCAACGCAGCCTCCACGGCCTACGCAACCTCCACGGCCTACGCAACCACCACGAGGACGGCCAGGTGGACAGTCGGGTGGACGACAGGGTGGACGACCGGGTGGGCGCAGACGGCAAGATCAACGGAATATGAACGACAAACGGAAAGGTAGACAATGAACACAATCCGTCATTGTTCATCGCGATATTGTGTGATTACTTTTCAAGTGACATGGACTGTATTCACTACACAATTTCTCGACGGAAAAGGAAACTGTCCACCTTAACATGAAGCCCGAAAACCGTCAATTAGTATCTCATTAATTCTATCTGTATTTTGTCTGCGTTTCTCATCTCTAACCTCAAGCCAGCAAGAAAGCGGTAAGGGAAAAAAAATGATAAAAAATTAAAATCACGTGGTAATAGCATTTATATTTATGAATGGTGAAGATCTAATCATATTGTTTTAGAATAATTCTTTAATAAATGTAGATGAATAAAATCAAACTGACCCTGGATTACTTTTCGTATGCAAGGGTACGAGTATGGTATTCATCACACAGAGACTTCAATTGAAAATATGAATTAAAATTAAGATTTTTATTTTGTTTAAGTCGAAATAAAAAAAAATTAAAATCCAGGGAAAGGGAAACACGGGAAAATACAATGAGACTAAGTTTGTGTATCAATACTGAATAAACATTTTTCAAATCCTCATGCTTTTCATATTGTGATATTAAGTTTATTAGTAGCACTAGACAATATACACGCTGTTTGAGGACTGTCTGTAAGTTATCTAGTCTGGCAAACCAGTGATTGATATTGCAAGCAACTATCTATCCCGTCGGGGCACCATGACACACAAACTGATCAGCCGATTTATTAGATAGTCGCTTATGATCATAGTTGGGGCGGGTGGCGGTGGGGGGTTTGGTGGTGGTTAATGTATTTGCACGTCACGCCGAAGACCCGGGTTTGATTCCCCACATGGATACAATGTTTGAACCCCATTTCTGGAGTCCCCTGTCATGATATTGCTTGAATATTGCTAAAAGCGGCGTAAAACCATACTCAATCAGTATGATCATAGTTTGGCGGGGATCTATAACCTTAGCAGGAATACCCATGTTGTTTTATGCCATTTTCTCTTTATAGCAATATGACTGGTGCATCTTAGCCCTTTAAGTGTTATTTTTCAAACAGCTGGAACGTATAGCATGAATTGTGTCCTGTTGGCAGATTTAAGTGCAAAATAAAATGTAAGTTTCTTGTTGAATGGTATGATTCGTGTAGATTTCGTTTTCGCCAAGACCAAGACCAAGTCCGCCTCTTTGAAAAGAGGCGATGCCATGTCGTAGCAATTACCGAGGAAAAGTTCAGGTCATTTTCTAAAATCAGCTTATTTTATCTGTCATCTCGGAATAATGAGTTTAGTTTTACATCGCTTTTAGCAATATACCAGCAATATCACGGTGGGGGCCACCTGAAATAGGCTTCACATATTTTACCCATGTGGGTGAATCGAGCCCGGGTCTTCGGCGTGACGAGCGAACGCTTTAACCACTGGGCTACCCCCACCGCCCCTCATCTCGGAATAATGAGACAAGATATCATCAATGCTTTGTCGAGTTGTAGCCATATATGGGAATCGAACTCGGGTCTCCGATGTAACGAAGAACACACCCTGTTCCTCACATACACAGACTTGTTTCACTGTGCATCGTTATTGTGCAGCGATAGCTTTCGTATTTAGAGTTATCTCCCTTTCATCGTTAAGTCACCTATTCTCGTTAGCTCGTGGGCGCACCTTTTTATTGATGAACCATATACGATATTATTGCCAGAATTCGTCCAGTCTCAAACTTCGTAACTTTGTAGCTGTTTTCTAAATGTCATCTTGGTAACTGAAAACACTCATGTATAATTTATTCGTTAATCCGGACATTTATTATTCCGGGAGTGTTCTTTGGAAAGGTCTGTCCGGATTAACGAGTTTCATTGTTGGCTTCGTTATTCCAGTCCCCGGTAGTACAATCCTATATTTGGCCCACCTTAACGTGAACTGACAAAAGTGAGTGAGTGAGTTTACTTCTACGCCTCTTTTAGCAATATTCCAGCAATATCACGGCGGTTGACACCAGAAATGGGCTTCACACATTGTACCAATGTGGGAAATCGAACCCGGATCCTCGGCGTGACGAGCGAACGCCTTAACCACAAGGCTACCCCACCGCCTCTATCACATAGAACAATGGACTCGTTCTAGACAAGGCTTTCGAATTCATTGGAAATGTGTTGTATTTATCTAATCAGCGTGTCAGTCACTGTACAGAAGAACATTATACTGAACCTATTATCACCTTTATCCGGAGTGATTGGGTGTCAGCAAGCCCCCACATTCAGTACAAACCCACCAGGTTTTAGTGTTTTGCCGTACAGCTCAAACACCATGGCAAGTTAATGTTACTTGTATCGGTAAACGTCCTGAAATGACGTCCTTTAGCGAAGTGATTTATATAAAATTGATTGTCCGCATTAGAAACTGAAGTAGATGTTATCGCTGGGCCGTCAAAGCGGTTCAGTATGGCGCCAGAGTCCGGTATGATCTCTCAAATCCTACAGCCTCAAGATGTTGATATTGATAAAAAGGTAAAACGTTTTATCCTGAAGAACAGAGATAACAAGAAGACCTACTTACCGACCATTTAAAGTCCACGAATAATCATTACAATGAGTTGCTTATGGTTAAAGAGTCCGCTCCTCACGCTGAAGACCCGCGTTCGATATATATTCCCCACATGGGTACAATGTGTGAAGCCCATTTCTGGAGTCCCCCGCCATGATATTGCTGGAATCTTGCTTAAAGTGCTTACTCACGCACTCACTCACTCACTCATTACAATGAGCATTATGTGTAAGTGAGTCGGGTTTTTACGCCCATGCGAACCGGGGTGTTCGATGTGACGTACAAGGCTGCTCCACAGCCTCTGCAACATCATGAACTGCGGATATAAAACTAGTTTAAACCAACACCTACTCTTGTAAAGTACACTAAACGCCAAAAGAAACGTTACTCTCCTTGCTTAATGACGGAGGTACCTATCTTCAGCTGGCGTTGTGATGCGTGGACGTCCACTTCTTGGTCTGTCTACGGTGACCCCAGTCTATCTGAAGCCCTGAAGTCTTATAACCGTGATACGGTGGCACCCGAGGGCGTTGGCAACAGCATTGTATGTCGACCCCATCTGCACCATCCCAATGGCTCTTTCTCTTCTTCAGCTGTTAATTGTGGCATGTTTCTCGTACTTGTGTATCAGATCATGTCTTCTAGGCTCTCTTTATACCCTATAGAATCATTCTACACGTGAAGTGGATGTAAATACTGCTTGAATATTGCTGCGTTTTGGCGATTGACATTGCTATGTGTAAACAGAAAATGGAAAAATGTTACTTTGCAAGCACAAATGTTAACAAAGATAATTTTAGATGTTCCTAAACATGTTTTCACAATATCAAAGACACGTTTTACTTGTTTTCACTCATGCAAATCAGCAGAAAATGTTTTTAAAGACATAGCAATCATAGCATTGATTAGTTTACAATTTTACACACTCTACAACAGTGGTTTCTTGTTTTAATGGTTGGAAAATGGTGACTTTAAATGGTTTATCATTGTCCCAAAGCAGAATTTTATTTCAACTTTTCTTTTGAACATCAAAATCATTATTATTTACTGTTCGTGACTTGCATAAAGCTGTGTTGTTAAGCTTTCTTTTAAACGAAAACGTTCTAAAATATCTTTGATAGTTTTTCAGTTATTCATAAAGGTAGGAGGGTAACGTTTCTTTTGGCGTCTAGTGTATTACTAATGACATAAACGTTTATCTAATTGATACACTCTGTTGGATGCAGTAAGCAATTTGATAGAGAAATCAATACATTTTTCCAATCACCAAATAAATATTTTCAGTTATATTTTTATTACCATTTCTTACAAGAGTTACCATTTTTAGGACCCGTAATTATATTATATGAAACTAAGCTATATGAAACAATATACATAGAGATGAAAACATGGGACGAATCCAGACTTATATACTCACAGAAACGAATAGGGGAACACGTGAAAGTAAAAGTGTTCCTTTATTTATTTTCAGAATTTCACTCACAGTGCAAAACATACCTTGTGAAGAAACCTGGAAAAGAATGAAGGAACACTTGTACTATCGTGTGTTCCCTTATTTGTTTCCATGAGTATATATTCCTCAAGGTGAACCTTCAGTGTCACTGGGTTAATGGACGCGCACGGAAACTGTTTAGAATTATGCGGCAGCATCAGCGAGTAAGTACAAACAATAGGGTTAGTCCTAACACAATTTTAATCCTTGCTTTGTCAGCTATCACCCTGCTTCATATTCATGTAAAACGTTTCGTAACTCGTTTATCTCCCTTTGATAAATAAACGAGAAGAACTGAACCATCTCAGCTTATCCACGCCGTCCCATACGTCCATTGATGGGTGGGTCTTAAGCTCCCGAACATATCATCTCCTGTACAACTCCACACAGTGTCAAAGTTTCTGTAAACAGAGTTGTTCACCCTTGGCCAATAGATGGCGTTGATGTAATCTTCGGCCTTTGAGACAGGGTAGCCACGCTTAAGAGATAACCGTCCGGTGATAACTGTGATCATCATTCCTGAATTGATGCTGAAATGTTTTCGCATATTTGAGTAGATCGTTAATGTATTTGTCTTATAGTTTGAATTATCAGTCCCTCCTGGGTGACATATTTTAGAAACCATGCTGGGGAAATGTCGACTGAAGGAGAGGCGGCAAGACCTCGAGTGTTGGTGATGATGCTGGTCTGTCTTTAGTACACTGGAAAGTCTCAGCTACTACATTATTGAACTGAAACCTCCACCTGAAGCCTGGCGACAATGGTTCCTTTCGTGCCAGAAACCACTGTTAGTTGCTTCGTCTCCTTTACGTTTCCAGGTTTGTGAGCTCAGTACTCATCCTTTTGGTTGAGCAAATGGTGAATGTCGTAGCTTCGCTTCCCTTCAGGCTTACCTCACACCATCCTCGATAATCTCCAGGCTATACGTTCCGATCACTCTCCACTATACCCTGGATGCATCCACGGCTTGGCCCCATGAATTTATTACCTTCCGTTGCTGGTTTATTATCCAATCAGGTGTCTACGCTGGGAAGTTGAGCGAACCAATCACAACTCACTTTCGCTTCTTAAATTATCTAACCGTTTAAACTTGGCAACACAATTGATGCAGAGGTACTCTGAAAGAGGAAGAAGAGTTCTTTCATTTATTTTTTTAAAGTTTCAGATCTATCAATTTTGTCTGTATGATTTCCCCCAAAAATCTGAGTGGCACTGCGATCAAACCTTCGCGACTGCGACCGCTATCTTTGTTGACACTGGCAAGCTCGGATGTAACGGCGGTTTAGCTGATTGGCTACTGTGACAATGCGGAGCTAGCAAAGGGAGATAATATAATTATCGGGGCCAAGCCGTTGATGCATCCAGGGTATAGTGGAGTGTGATCGTAATATACCCTGGAGATTATCGAGGATGACCTCACACATCAAGCTGACATACCGCGATATTACTGACATATTGTCGAAAGCGTCCTTCAACTAAACTTACTCAGGTTAAACTCATGGTTGTTATCCAAATAATACTTACTCCGAATAATACTGC